CGCCGTATAGCCCAGCCTTTTCGCTTACTAGGGACACAAAAGGAGAAAAAATGGAGGGGAGCCAGTTCGTTGTTTCAAACTTCTTCTGCTCATACAATAGTTTGATGGCTGATATCATAGATAAAGATTTAAGTAAATGATGAAGACAATTTCTATAAACGACACTTAACGGAAAGGGATCTGTCACCTGCTAGACTCACTAAGTCTTTTTCACTTTGCCAAATTCTTCCGACACTCCCTTTTTTCTTTCTTTTTTTTTTTTTTTTTTTTTTTAGGAATCACATCCATAAATTAAGAATGTATTTTGTTCTAAGAGAAAAAGGATTTGTTTAGGTTACGGTAAGACCTTGAACGGCTAAGACGCTTACGGTAAAACAAAATATCGAAGTTTTGAGCTCCACCATGCGGTACCTGCAGAAAGCAATATAATTATAAAAACAAGTCACACCAAAACAACGTTCTTTGACATTTGTGTAAACATACCAATGTTAATTCTTAAGGCATACGGACTATTTACAAACTCAGGAACTGGGCGCAACCTACTTATGTACATCAGCAAATCGATGACAAACCAGTCATTCTAATTAACGAAAAATTAAAGAAGCATATGTGGATTTGACCCTCAGTTGTACCTCAGTGTTTATAGCTCGGTATTTTTAAAGGAACTACATCTCCTCGGTAAGGTAGCTATTTGTGTGCCAATGTTGCAAATAGCGGATTTTACCAATTTTTTTTTGCATCCATTAACACTACTCAATAATCATAAAGTACACTTTTTCTGACCAAAACTCTACTACAGACCCTTGTAGCCATCGTATCCATTTCTGTGACGGTTTTAAACGTATGCGTTCTCAGTTTATATAGGAATATTAACGCGTATCGGCTTATTGGTTGTGACATAACCTTACAGCACAGTTTTTTTGCGATTAGTTTCTTCTACACAACATAGATTTTTACGATCATTGTTCCGTTAGCTATAACGAACAGCGCTTAGGTAGGGATTAACCGGTTGAGTTGGCAGAAACCTGAAAGGCAAGGTTCTTCTTATGAAACTAAAATTTAGTATCTCAATCACTTCTCTCTATTCCTGGCTGTCGCCCTGTTCATAGGCGCTATCAACAGCTCTGTGACATTTGCTACACCTCGCAGTCATGGAGTAGGTATATGAATGCCTCTTAGTGCTGAAGGAAACCTACGGTTGATTGTCAGTGTTAACGCTACTTCTGCAAGTAACCGCATAGTGACTGATAGCGAATAGCTTCGGGCCTCGAAAGAGAAGAACAACGACGACGAGAGGGGCCGCACGCCTTCAGCTTACTTTAGTTAATGCATCAACTGGAAAAAGAAGCACGGATATGCTGCTTTTCGGCGGCTGGGAATGGTTTTTTCTCTTTATAGGGAAATAGCTCCCTACACACAGAGAATGGGACTTGAGGTAAGTTCTCCTCGTCGAGTTTTTTCCGCCAACACCATAGCCACCGACTCCTAGCACCTGATCGATCGAGCAGGCGCAGCAGGATATAGACAGTCATGCACGCTCGTGCAGAAGCTTCCGCCTAAGTGAAAAGAGAAGGACCAAGCGAACTTTTGACCTATAGTTCAGTCTTGATTGCAATTAGTGGCACCCTTACTAGACTGAGCCAACCAAAAAGAAGGAAATACCGACCTAAAAGCATCAGGCTGATTATAGCATCGCTGTACAAACTCAAACAAGAGTTTGCACGACCAGTTAGTTGTTTGCCTGGCCTATAGTTTGTTATGGTCTTACTAATGGATCTTCAGGTTGATAGATAATTTGCTCATGTGCAAGTCTAAACAAGTCATTCAAGCAGTTCTTCACCTGTAGACAAATCAGTGTACGGTGCGTGCTATGCTGTGGCTAAAATTAAAAAATGTTAGTGATTTAAACGATTGACATGTTCAGCGAGGTATCTTAACGGGAAACTGCTTTGGTGCTCAAATACCGCTTAGCATAGCTTTAGAAGGCTACACTTCCTTATCTATTTTTTGATACGTGTTATAAAGCTCTCTGTGTCTTATTTTTTCGTATTCTTTTTTTGAATTCGGTCGGTAAATATAACTTCTTATTTTTTTCCGACATGAATTAAGCTTGTGTTCCTATCTTGGGTCAGTCCATAAAGCAGAATTGTGCTTCTAAAATAACAAATTCGTCAAATACGGCTTCCAAGGTGTAATTTTCACCAGATTAGCTCCTCCTATCGTAGATATCGCATATCTGACGTCTAAAGCGAAAAACACGAAGCTTATTATACAGATAAGGGATATCTATCTAAGAAACAGCTATCTGATATTGCAGATTGTTTGTGGAAGCGAATAAAAAATCATTTATCGGGTTGATTATTGTGTATCAGGTTTTTGCGGCCGCCACCTGAATCTCTCACAAGACACTTTTGCGAGTTTTCTTCAACGTTTATCGTTGCTCCTTTTTGGACATTAGGTCAAACACTGGATGTTTACCGGTATTTCCGTTTGAGGTACTCCCTGGCTGACAACGAAAAGCATAGGCCGTATTTGACCTCAGTGCAATCGAAAGATATGGTGAATGGAAACAGGCCAATCAATATCTGCCTAATAGAGAAGGATTTAAGCTTCCACTAACATTTTTCTATACTACCAAAAGGTATCCGAGTAGAATACTTTATTGACCTTTACTAATATATGCACTTATTGAGAATTGCTGTTCCGTACTTTGGAGCACCTAAAGGTCATAATGGTGATATTCATTCTATTATGGGTTGGATAAATCTCTAGCTCTAGAGGAATCTAATTTTCGCAGAATTCGCATATTTTAGGCCTAGCCCGGAGACATATTATAATTTGTGTCAAATCTGGCAAAAGCTAACGTGCTGCATTGTATGTGACACAGTATTTCTCTCTATAATAGGGATTTAAGGCTGTTGGCGGGTAGGCCCATTCAGCGATACCCCTGAAGCATTTCATTTCGTAGGATTTCTGTACCCCATTGGAACCCGATAGAAGCTAACAAGTGATGGGTCAACGGCAATCTGCCATTTGGCTTTTCCGGTGATCTATGGCAGGATGCGGGTATCTTCGGTAGTATGGTATCTACGTGTTTCTTAAGTGATACAGTTTCATCAAATCCAATAGGAGGGAGCAATTCGATTTGTTGGCACGCGGTCGAAAAGGGAATAGCGCATTTAAAGGTATACATTAAGTAATTTCCGAAACTGTATTTCCACAGTCGAACAGTCCAGATTAGGCCTTGACGATGTAATTTTATTAAGTTCATTGCTAAGATCGATATAAAACCAAGAGCTGCAAATTCTCATATAGTTTTCCCAATTCGAGCGAGACTTTAACGTTAATTCATCGCTACCAATAATGAAACTGTAGAAAAAACGCCAATACACTATTAATGTAACGATCATCCTTCTTATATCCAAAGTCGGACATCCACGGCCGAACTCATGATGTTATGAACACCTGCGTAAAGAAGTAAAGTCTAACCTTCATGGATCACAAGTCTATCTTAAACCTGTGTCCTTTGTTTCGTCTACAATGCCTACCAGGCCCGAAGATTGGCAAATGTCCGTTACCTTTAGCGTTGCCGCTTGTTTCACTCATTCCTAAAACATAATAAAATTACCTGTGCCATTTAGGGTACTAGCAGATTAGCGTTCTAAGCATTGAGGCAATCAGGTGTGAGTTATTGTTGCTGCGGTAAAGCTTACTGCAGCTGTCCATGCAGAATTATATAATATTTACAACATATGGCCGTGCAATTCTATATATGAAGTTCATCCTTTGGTTTCGGTACATGTTTTCGGCTACAACGATAACTGCCTCCTTGCTTTATCGGCATACTTGAACCCATTGTAATTTTCTACTATCTACTAAAAACAAAATTTGACTTACAATAAAAAAAGCGTTGGCTGTTAGTCGCAAATGGTGTGCCCAATGCATTTTCGAAGTTATTACCACTTTCTGTGAGTGAACGGTGATAATCGACAGTCGCATATTTTCGAACGATTACGACACATTGATGAGCCGAACGCACTATAAACTCCAGTATCTGCGGCAGCGATCGTGGCCTTCCTCGACAGCCGTTTGGTCGTCACACCATAAGTAGTGCAATAAACAAGTCATAGCACTGCCATTCTGGTAACAGCCGGTGCGCCGATACGGTAATATTACCAATGACTCGCCCTGTAATTTCGTCCGTTTCGAGTTATTTTGCTCACTATTTGAAGTGTTCGCATGATCCGATCGTGTGAGTAGAATGTGTTCCAGATGTAAAAAAGATAAGACACCTGTGCATCCGCTACGTAACTCCTCCCTGTTTTATATACTGGGGCGTCACCTACTTTCTATCATTGACTGCACATTATCTTCGCCTAATCGATGACTTACTCCCGCTCATTTCTCGTCCGCTACACTGAAAGGGATACGTGTTAGATAGGTGCGTCGATGTCACCTTATTGGGCCGGCTTATTATTTACTTGTGTTATTGAATGACGTCACTGATGACGTTGTAGGACAATATGGCCCAAGTGCCCTATTCGTTGGCCTCGGCTCCATTCTCCATCCTGTTCTTTCATTCTCTTCATTCCGATTATTAATTATGCTTTAAAAATCCACGTTTTTTGACCGCCCGTCTGGGCACATTGTTGCCTGAACATGTATTGGTACATTGTGACCAACACCACCTTCCATCGTCTACAGTACAAACGAAAGGCATATTTGTCATGCGGTGGATATCTGCAGGTAACTAGCATGGCTGTAAAATACTACCACTTGGGAGCCCCATCTTGTTTCTTCGAGAATATAATTTGCTTAGAAGAGAACAGGCTAATGAACGTACGTCTAGGGCGGATATATAACCCGATGCGAATGATAAGGAGAGACCGTAAGAGATCATCGTCGTAAGCATCGTGTATATAGGTTCGTCCGTGGAGTCTAGGGTAATAGACTGCCAATTGGCGTCTATTGTAGTTGGTAGCAAATGACGTAGCGCCAAACATCACACCCACTGTATTATTACCAAAATGTATTTCAGTAATTTTCTTATTTGGACCTCGGCAACTCGGTTTGCAGCCTCATTAGAAAATCTACCTCTATAGCAATTATTCGAACGTGCACTGTTACTCTCGAACAAAACGTGCGTAACGTGCACATGTGCGTGATCTGCCAAGCACGACAGTCTTCCAATTGAAGCTTACAATATGCAACGCGTGTCCCCGTGAGTATCAGTCAGGTTTCGTATGGTCTCTAGGTATTAGGGCGAACCGCCAAATCTGTACGCAGTATTGACTGTAAAATGTGTATGTATATAGATATGTGTAGCAAAATAAAAAGAAACGTACTGTGAATATACGTGAGAAAAAGAATAGATAATCAGAAATCGAATTGCTCCGAGAAAATGGAAGTATTATGTGAAGAGCACACCATGTAGAAAATATGTAATAACTAAACAGATATAACGTCGTGTAGAAACTTAAAATCCCGAATATTGAGCGTACCACACTTCGTTTCGTCCTAGAAGCTAGTTTTCTGAAGCAACGTCTACCGGTCTAAGTACCGGACGTAAAGTGCGAGAAACAATTTTTGTGTTGGGGAAAAACCGCAATGATCAAGCCTAAAATCATAGGGATTATGCCATATTCGGTATGCATTTTTCCCTTCGAAGAAAACAGCGGTTGTAGACGACTTAGAAAGGCCAAAGCCATATCTCGTTTGACCTCTTTTTGTACTTCGGTCAGAATTTTTTAGACTTCTTCGTTTATTTTGAATAGTCCTTCAATTTCAACATGTTATATATATTATATAGTTGTTTTTCTTCTCTCATGTAAACACTGTATAAAACAACAGCCTCTGCTAATCACCCAATACCAGACGAGCATTTGATATTCAGAGGCTTCTTAGACGAGATCGTGCCTCGTTTAAAGGCTAACAAGACCTTCGCGCAGTACCACGTATATTATACCGTTCCTGCAATGTCCGCAACTAACTCCTAAGCTCTAGTTGCGATTTGCGTTGCTCTTCCTAGATCTTCTATTCAGTGCTGCTGCCGTTTTGTATTGATTTACGCCTTCGAGTCACGGACAGCGACATTAAGGAAGTCGCAACAAGCGATAGAGCCAAAGAATGGGGGGAGCAAGTGGCGAACCGATATCCTATAGACCCCAGCAGGAGAACATATAATCCAGCCTATGGCGGCTTAGGCATGAGCCCCACTTCTGTTGTTTATCTCTCATTAAATCAAGTTAGGGTCAGAAATGAGCCAACAAATTTTCTGCCAGAAATGAGCCAACAAAAAAATTAACCGTCTTAATGCTGGAGCTAGGAACCCTTTATACAAATATTTCACCACAATGAAACGGAGACAGTGAAAACCATGGCTGCGAACTAAAGGATAGGTTAGGCAGACAAATCGAGAGACACAACAAAGCAAGATCACCGTAGAAAATTGCTAATGAGAGACACACAAACACCTTTAGCGAAACTCTGATGTAAGTGGCCGTTAACGCACGATTAACTTGTATGGTCAAATAGATAGAAGTCATTAAAGGTTAGGCGGTTTGTCGATGTCAGGGGCAAAATTGCCAGGTACAGGAACGTCCTGTCCTACGCCTAATGGCAGCCAGATGTGTATAACGTTTTTCATTTATGGTAGACACTGTCAACGCGCTTTAGCACTAGTAAAAACCAAATAGTGACATTCATCGTACCAACGTATAGGTGAATCGTACTGATTTTTGCTAGCAGCTGCGGTTTCGTTCAAGCTGCAACTTTTGTCGAACAAAGAAAAATGTTTTGTTTGAGGTGTTACTAATAACAGGTAACGTTATGTAGTATAGTGACAAGTGCGGACAGGGCAAAAGCAACAAGGAGAAGTGGTTCGTATATTGTAGTATTACTCAAATTGTACGTATGGAAAAAAGGTTTTGTCTTCTTAAATCTGTTCTAATTGGCTGGCCAATTTTTGCGCCAACGTGCCGTCATTGAAACGCATACGGTTTTTTTGTGCAATTGGAAGTGTTTTCATGTCAAACACCGCCTACGAGATCAATTCATATTTGCTTATATGGCTGTATTCGATAACGGTTATCACTAAATACAATATATTGTTACTACAATAATTGTTTTATCTTTTTAGTCAACGCCGGCTGGTAAGGCTCGCCAGGGTAAACATGCATGGAGCAGATCTGCATGATTGAAATAGCGACTGACATTCTTCTCGAACTTATTTTATGGATGTGGGTGCAGGCCGCAGTAAGGCCGTTGTCTTACTGCTTGGTCTGTTTATCTGCGTAATCGTGCAGTGGTTAATTGTGATAACAATCGTACCACCGCCAACGTAATACCTTCACACATGGGCCACGGTATAACTCTCAGGGTTCACACAAAAGGCAATGATGGATAGCATTTTGGGACGACATTGTTGGATTAAGATTTTTTTGCTAGCGGGTTTCATATAAATCCATTATCGTCAGCCGAATAGAACGTTGAGAGTGGTAACGCAAAAAGCTTCTTACCAAAGTGTTCGTTTTGTTGACTTCATTATTAGAAAATAACGTACTAATCGCTACGGTTTACAATGCACTAGACAATCAATTGACCATAGTGGATTCTTCCTAAATAAAAGCAAGCTTCCACGATAGGAAGAAGTGATACTATTTGTAAAGATTTGCCAATAAAAGCTCAAATTTGTGCCGCCTAAGATAGCAATCGAACGTTAGTTGATCGGTCGACAGCTTCCGATAGTGTTTTGAGGTGCAGGCAAACTGAGAGAACTGAATGATACGTGTCTATAAAGAGTCAGGACTCTAATGCGAACATAATAATAGCAAGGGCGACTGTAATATTGTAGTGCAGTCATTTTATAGCAAAGAAAAAAAAACACTGGATTCTACATATTCTAACTCAACCCTTATCAATATTTAATATTGAATCTGTTTCATAAAAGGTATCGATGTTGTACAAAACATTCCCTTCCCTCACAGAAGAACTACAAGTTCTTGTAGAATATTGTTACATACGTATCACTCTCTGTTCATCCAGAAAGTCAGGAAGCAGTCAGTGTAGGCCAAGCACTAGCCTAAACAGAGTGCGTATTAACGACCAAACAGAGGATATCGTTCCGTAGGACACAATTAGGGTAGCTTTATGTAGGATAATGTATAGGGATTCTCCCGAGATATTTTGCCATAAGCAAAAAGCATTGAACAGACTACCTTAGGCACAAGTAACAAATGATCACAGAGAAAAAAAAAATACTGTTGTTATTATTAACCAGTTATTATAAACTGTCCGCCTTTTCTGATAATTAATATATAATGCACCGGATTTATCATATATTGTGTATATTACGGATATATCAATGCTCGAGTATGTACCGTTTACAAACTCTGATGAAGCGCACTTGTCTATTGTAAAAACTTCCTCTGTTCATTAAAGACGAGTCATTACAAAAAGAGTTCCTGTTTCAAAAACCTTTATCGAACCTAATGAAATGTAACCGTGCACATATGGTGCACAAAAACAACCTTGAGTTCGACTGTCAAATACCTCATACTTGCACCAAACGGCAGAAAGAGGCAAAACACCAAAATGGGATTTGTCGAACGTTTATTTTCTAAAACCTCAAGAAGCCTGGTAAAGTGCGTGAAGATGATGATATCTACATTAGGAATGCCTCTGTACTGGAATTGTAAAAAGAAACCCTAAGATGTAGCGTTTTTCTCTACCTTCTCTACGACCGTCAATTTTTTTGGGTTTCTTTTTTTTTTTTTCTTAATAACTCAAATTTAGGAAATTCCCGTTTTAGAAATAACAAAAAATCCTATTATAAATTTTACCGCATTTTCGAAATTTCGCCATGGTAACCATATTTGAGGATGTTTCGTTAACATCTAAACAGCGTAAATTCTCGAAGTGTTTACAGATATTAACATAGTGGCCTTTTTTCCATTAATGGCGTCAGGAGAAAGTTTATATAAGCTATCACGGCCTAAATTTTGAATTAAACCCATGTAGAAACGGACAACAATGAATGCCAATTGAAAATCTCTATTTCAAGGAAATCAATGAATATCATCTATGAACTAAGCTAAGTTATAAACTTATACGCAATTGCTGCTTTTGAGTGACGTTCACGGGACCAATGCCCACGCCAATGGCGTTCAATGGAATAGTCTTCTTCTCCATCGAAGAGGTCATTCCACTAAAGTCTAGTCATATCTTAAAAAGAGCCATTTATCGAGTCACTTCATAAACATTTTTAGGCAAATGAGGGAACTTCTTAGCACGCCACACCTTTCGATTTATTCTCTCACTCTCTATTCGTTTCTCCATTGGTGTTTTCCTGTTGCCCTTCTACCGTTCTTTCTTTCTCGTTATCGCATTCACAATTTGGCAAGACTATGTGTGAACAGCGCTCAACTTCGAAAGCTTTCAAGTTACCCGCCTGGTTGAGTTGACTACCTCTTGCAAGGCGCACAGACGATTTGAGCGCCTCTCTGGAAGCGCCCTTTGGGGAGCTTGCTAAACAGTTCCTGTAGTCTCGTTTTAACTTTTCACTTTTTTCGTGCCGCTTAGTCCGCTTATGGCCTCACTGTGGAACAGCGGCGACGGTGGCAGCAGCAGCAATATAAACGCGTGGCAGGAAGTTTCATAAGAAGTTTTCCTTCTTGTGGAATAAACCTATAAACATGCGTCACTATTGTTGTCTCAGCAGCACCTTGAAATGCCTGCCCAGGACCACGTCGACCAGCGCAATTTTACTCCGGTCGCGATGCTGTGACCCTTTTCCCAACCTGTAAACACCATATTATTTTAAGAAAACTAACGCAGCTCCCTATTAACAACTACGCCATTACCGATAATGAGAAAATGTATCTAATATACATGGCAAAGACGGCTTATTTGAATTAATTCGGCGGTCAGCAAATATATGCTTGAATCTGTTTTGAATGTTCGATAAGTAAAAAAGAGTGTGAGCCTTCGAATTGGAGTTTATGCCAACGATAACATTCAGATTAATGTAGTGATTACGTCACAGTCCAATAAAATGTAAAGCAATAGCCTTTAGGACGCGTTCGTTCTAAAAAAATTACAGAGAGATTTAAAGAAATGCGACTTATGGAAACCTAATAGACAGTATACTGCTCTGCCTTACACACATATAGATATATATATATATATATGAGATCTGTAGCTACGTCCGTTTTCCATTTGTCTTGTTATAGTTTCTACACTGGATATTTTTGTCATAATACCCGTTTAAAGAAGCCAACATGATTACTGCTTGTCAAACTTTTATTTGTCGTATTTATTCCCATACCAGGTCATACCTTCTATTAAGTCTGAACTCTGAAAAGTATCTTATATTGATATTAAAACCACGTGGTAGTACAAACTTGCATAACGCATAAAAATCACAGCAAAAATTAACTGTGTTAATATTTTTATTTCGCAGTGCCGGATTTCTCAGTTGGGCTGAAATAACTATGGAAACAATCATAGGACCTGGGTTAGATTCTGGGAGGGGAACGATACGAATGAATGTCCCGTCGCTTATGTCGAAATAGGCTCGTTTTTGGTTTCCTTTTGAACACAGAGCATGTATGCCATGCGGGGCAAATGGGGAAGCTTCTTGTGAGTAACCTACATCCATGCTCCGTTATCGTGTACGTGCCATAGTTCTCAAAATATGTTATACTATACTGCAGTAGGTCACAGTGAACGAGGCCCTAGAAATTACTGGCAAAGACATTTCGCAAAAAAAAGTCTACAAAACAAAAAAAAAAGTTAGTCAAACTGTGTCATACGGCCATATGGTTTCTAGAACGCTAACGACATTCTACAATCCAATACGGCAGTTGACGGTAGATAAAACAGTGGTCATTTGCTTTAGGCCTCATATTACTATTTTGATATATAATAGATTACCGTTCAAAACGTGCAGCCCTCTTTCTCAAACAAAATTTTCCAGTAGCTTTCCTATCGATGGAAACATTTTTACAAACATAACAGGTACGCATATACAATGCCAGTAGTTGATTTTGTTCAGCCATTTAACTGTTACCTCTGCAACGAAGAAATTAATGTTTTTTTTTTATATCAAATAAACACCTGCGAATGGAACGCGTTGCATTCGTATGTATACGATGATGAAGCGCACTCGATCTTATACTTAGCAAAGCCTATTTAATAACAAACAAGCAGATCCGTTCTAGGGAAGCTCTAGTCATCATCATATTAACGACTTCTTGTCACTCCTGTTGAACACTATTATAACTGCTTCGTACCCTCAATCAGTATATAGCAATGATGCATATGAGAACAATAATTTGAAGTTCAGCCTTATTTTTTATGGGATGCTATCTACTATGGAACAACACAGCGTTAAAGAGTCCTATTTGCACAACACGGGCCATTGTAAAACGTAAGACAATGTGTTTTTCCCTTGAGAGCCATAGCACTGCGGAAATTCATCAAAGATTGGTGAAAACAGGCTGAAAAGCCTTATAGTATTACATTGAATGGTATATACGTTTCAAGAACGGAGATTTAAATGAAGAGGTGACCAGATCTTGGGATTCAAAAGACAAGAACGTATTGTTACATTCGACGACGTTCTTCACGTCGTCGGCCAAAACTTACATTTCACATGTAACGTACTACAGAATTATAATTTAGATACAGATTATGAATTAAAAATAGGCTAAAAAATAGGTTTTCTCCAAGTTGACTCCGGGCCAGTTAAAATGCTTGGGGTGTATTCCAAGTGAAATCTGCGGGACTTTAATTAACAAAAATCTTCCTGAAGCATATGGTCGTGACAGATAAGGCATGGTTCAATCAAAGAGTGGCGTTGCCCTGGAGAGAAAACGAGTTTTATGGCAGGCTTGAACATGTTCGTATTTAATGGGATGGTAGTCCTTACTATGGGTATCAGGAGCATCTGCTTCCGTCAGAGATACGCCGAAAATAAAACAAGAAATTTAGCACGCGATCTCTAATGCCTTAAGAAACTCACGAACCATTGGCATGGCAGTCGAAAGCACGCAATCTTGTTACTTATAAAGATCAGACCTCGTCACTGTGCCTCAATTGCTTATTCAATTAGGCAAAAAGTATCCAGGGTTGGCTTCAACCCGCTTATTTTTTCGATTAAAGTCTGTGTGGTTACAAGGCTTTCTATGCCTTAAACAGGGCAACTGGTAAGTAAACATACTCTATTATCGATTTAATTCGAGAAGTTGTGGATAACCATGGGAACGAGGATGGTGCACGTATGGTTGTGTACAAGTTGAAGACCAGAAGGCGGCAAAAAGTGTAACAAACTAAGTAGGATACCCTCAACATACTTGAGGAGTCATCACTCTAATTTTCTAGTCTAGTATTTTAACGTTCGATTTTTTTTTCGGTGAGGCTTTTTACAAACCCTTTGGAGCACTATGATGATAATAGGACTGGATAAGTCCATTTCAAACGACGATTGATTTTATTAAATTAACTGCAATATGATTTTTACCTATCGCTGCAATACCTACTAATTAATATATAGATAGATATTATTTGGCTACTTTACGCACCTATATTAACGGTTATCCATATATTTCATAACATATACATCCAATTTGAATTTAGATTGAGTCTATCCTTGCAAACGCGTCCTTAAGCCTGTCAAAACATTCGACAAACTTTAGATTGAATAATAAAGAAAGAGAAAACCTCGTGTGCCTCCTAACAGATAGGAAGATAATTATTCATATGCAATATTATGATCTATAAAACGTCAAATCAGAACTTATAATTGATGATTACACACTATTCGGCTCTGCTCTTCAGGGGTGCAAATCGTTCAAACCACTTCTTCTTCCATACGAATAGGATAGAGGACTTCCCCCGCTTCAAGAATAGCCGGGGGTGGGTATTTCTAAACCTATCTGAATTTTCTCCGGCACGTCCATGGAACGGCGTAATGTCGTATTATATAGTATATTAATCCGATTTTTCTTCTTCTTAATAATTCTCTTCTGAAAGTTGATATGCGAACTAGGGTAACTGTTTGCTTGTTGGTTGGTGATCACTATGACAAAGCATCCAAAAAGATGCAGACTAGCCATTCAGATATCATAGATCACGGAACCTTCATTCAGCACCATACCTTAATCTTTAACGCAATTCACCCTCACCTCTGAGGCGAAAGAGACTACAGATTCTGAACCTATATGTATGTATTGACTGTTTGTTCTGAAACTACGCAAGATTTGTCTTGTGAGTAAGGCATATTCTTTTTACGTTTATAAACTTTTAATGAGGAAATTCTACCATTTCTAAATGCTCTATTTTCAGTTTCACGTGTCAACGGCGTCCGATAAGCAGTAAAGTCTAGGCTACGTGGCAGTGGCGAGAAAACAGGTGAAGTTTAATTGATATGGTTATTATGTCACAGTCGACAGAAAACGAAAAAGTATAAGGGAAGCAAAACCTTTTGGAGTATAGCCTGTAAAGACGGGCCGCGGGCCGTCTGGTTGGTATTGGCGCATTATTCCTTGTCTCATAACGATGGACAAAAGATAATAAGTTGAAACCGTACCAATGCTTCGACGTATTGAAGAAAATGCTTTTGTTCCTATCCGTAGCAACGCATCATGTTAGCGTACCGCCGACTTCACAGAACTAAGATGGCCGAGAATATTAAGTTGCTATTCAAACATGTCTTTTGACCGTGTGACTACCCTTAGTCAAACAAAACATACAGATGCGACGTGTAGATAAACGTGTGTACGTGTCATCCCCGTGGTTGTGTAAGGGCGATATATTTGCCTACTAAAGTGATGGCCGACATTTGAATCTGGCCGTACCTCGTTTCCTACCAGGAGCCAACTGTGTGAAGCAGTGCTTAACGCTTTACGTAATAGACATAAAACTGGAAACAACCATTTAGGTACAACATAAAAATTAGCAAGGGACTATAGGTATCAATATGTTCATATTGTAAATCGATCGTTGAAAGTTAGATCTATTGAACGAGCTGGTGCATCTGTGTAAGACACATGTAGTGCACTTAAACAACAACTAGGTATAAGGAGTGCGGAGAAATAGGCTCGGAATATGTGGAAAAGATAGCCTGTGCGTGTTAGCATATTGGTTACGTGTACCTAAAATACGTCTCTCGAGAAGCTACCCGGTATGTCAAGCATGGCCATGAAGTTGTTTAACACTGCCTAATTTTTAGATACGATTAGTCTTCTACTGAATTGTATGCAGCCTGCTCGAAACCTATCAAAATAATTTTTGCCATTATCAAGGCTGCCAAATATTAACCCATTACTGTATAATGGCATTTGTGCCTTCAATTTTGCCTTCTTTATTCCATATGACCTCTTTTAAGCTGCTCATAGAGAGTACAAGTATCAGCACAAATAATTGATTAGCAAAATATTAGTAACCGGCGATTGTTTATTTTGTCTGAAATGCAAGCTTCGCTTCTTAAAATAAATCTGGAAGTGTATTTTTGAAAATACGTACTCAGGATATAGAGCGTCCTGCTCTTGACGACAGCCAATGAGCGTAAAGGGTATAGATTTCTTGCTTAAGGGTACTATGATATTTTGCAATGTTACTTAGCATGCAAAATTACTTAATGCATATTTGTATAATTATACTAAAGTCTGTAAGAAGGCAGTTTTAAAGTCGGGAACACTTTGCCGTTCGTCCAGAAAGTACTTAAAAATCATTTGATTCGTATTTGCTGGCATTCACCCTTCGCGGTCCTGCAAGAAAGGACATATCGTATTTTAACATGAAGATTCCTGTGTCTCTGTATGCATCTAGAGTAGAGTACTTAAATGAGAAATTAGAAGGAAGCTCCGTATTTGGACAGACGTTGTGAAATATCGCCCAGAGAGCTCCAGTTGTAACCCTCCTTGCGCACGAACGGTACCATGGCGCCGAAATTTCCAGATTCAGCCCGTATATTTCCTGGGGGAACAATCAAGAGCTAACGAGACGTCTGCCTGTCAAAGCACGTTCTAGTTCCGTGCGAGTTCCTATAGATTGGCGGATCCGAAAAATTGCTCTGTGCTCGTTTGCGCTCGTGAAAAACACGCGACGAAGTATGAAGTCCATTTCCTGCTAAAACTGCCTTCAGCTTAATACTTACTATATACCGACCCTAGATTAAGGTCACGGATGTTGATTTATACCATAATTACAACGTGGTAATATTGCTGACACCCCGTCGGTTTTAGCGTCCGATGTAGACGTTTAGTAATGAATTAAATGATACAAGCTGTTACCTACGATAAACCGTAAGCAAATGGACTAAACAAGCTTCATCAACTGCAACTGCAAAGCAAGTTAGTGCCTTCTAGGCAATACATTACAGCGTCGATCACCATCATACGGCCATTATTGCTTACGTGTTTGCCATCATTTTTTGACAGATATGCGCAACACATTTGCAAGCTTTGTCCGCGAAAGAGCGTAGATACACTTCATCGATCTCTGTACCACACTTCTGCCGCCCCCGCACACGCCCATGATAGCATCGTTCGTGAAGGGCAATTACACCGATAGCAACAAGAAGATAATGATGGCAACAACAATAAAGCTGTGTAATGATCGTTTACCTACGGTGCTTGATTTGACGTCAGCTTAATTAAGACTATTCCAGTTAGATGAAAATGCGTAGGCGGATGTAATTATGCTATTGACGTCACGCGGTACATTTTGACCGATGGTTATAAAGCCGAAAAATACTCGCTCCATTAATAACATACACGTAGAAAAAGTTCCCGAAGGAATTTCCCTTACCACGCAATATTAGTCCCTGACATTTTCGCTTATAAGCAACTTATATTGTAATATAGACCACCTTAACTTATTACATAATTGTTGTCGAAAATAAGCTTCAATAATAACACCAAATTCTGAGGTTGTCTTGTAATGCGTATTTAGTAAATAGTTCCTTTCTTAACGACGTACGTATCATATAGGGTAGGTGATTCATAGGAGAATTAAGCACATCCTGACACAAAATCCGATTCCCTTGTAGAGTAGTTTTTGTGACAGACGAAGTTGAAAAGTCTGCTCTATAAGTATTTTTCCTGATCTTTAGCCTGATCCCCTTTAACTAAACTGTTGTCAGAACATTGTTCAGCCATTTTTAGCTTAAAGTTATGTGCAAAGGCGCGTGATAGGTAGAAATATATAACGATACCTTGTCGATATTGAAGCAAGCTTGCATCCAATAAATAATACTTACAACATGCATTAACAGCATCGATAAGCTAAATAAATCATTATGAGAATTTTAATGAAACATGGCGCAGATTCAAGTAGGTAATAGAAATAAAGCCTTGATAAACATGTGTACAGGACTTCGGCAACGCCACATATGTTTGACTTGTATAATGTGAGCTTGGGCCTCTCTGGCCATTTCTTCATGTCGCTTCCAGTATAGCCATCGCCTGCTCCTGGGGTTACCTTTTGCTCCACACATCTATCAGGTCTTTCGTCTATCTGTCCAACACCACTCAAAGACTTAGTCTTGCCCATCCGGAGCTTGCCGTCTACTAATAAGTTTCGTTCCTTTTCGATTTAATTATGTTGCTCACACATAGCTTTCTCTCTAGCGATCTTTTCTTTTCTCTAGGCACATACCCCCTAAACCTGCGAGCCGGTCCTTATTTGCGCGAAAACATAAACACACACACACACGGCCACAAGCCTTGAAGCTTGCTAGACGTCCTTCTCAATGCATCGCCAGCCTATTCCCAACATGCTTAGTCTACGCATATATGCTGGTCGACTGCAGCAGCTCCTTTCCTTTAAAACCCCCTTCTCCTATAGACGTACACTAATAATGTCTGAATTTTCCTCTAGATCCACACATCCGATGCAACGTCTAGTAACATTCCCTTCGTTTCTTCCCGCCTTCCATATTCGCGCCTTGGTAGAAATCTTTCTTTATTCTCTGCTTTGTTGCATTTCGCTCTATACAATCGTTTCCCAATGCCCGTATCCCTTTTTCTGCCTGACTAATCTCCAACCCTCACATCCTTTCAGGCTGGCAGGTACTGACACACGCGCGCCCATGCACCTACACTGAATCATCCATGAATACATTAATATATTTGAATCTCTGTTTATTATTGTTTTTAACTCCACAGTTCTTAGAAGGATTCTTAAGCGTTGGTTTCTGTCTTTCACCATAACAGAAGGGCATCTTTCATTATTTTGTCCACCGGTTCTGTATCTACCAGGTTCGTATGAAATATTACGATTTGGCAGGAGTTGAATTGCCTCACGTTCAGACCCATTAAAGCACTTTATACGAACCTTTTTTTGCTACTTGCCCTTCTACGTCGCCACCTTAATTACGACATACATGGCCACTGCAGGAATGTTGAAAGCTATTTCTGCAGCCTTTGTGCCAGACCCTGTCTGGCTTCATAATCTCTTCAAGTTGTTATCGGGGAGAGAGCCTCCCCGGCCAGATAAGTTTCAAGAACGAAAACTGCCTCGCTTAGGTTTACGATATTTTTATCAAATAATAACCGCCGGAAACAGCAGGGTTACTGCTGGTCTGTTTCGAATTAATAGTCCAATATATTGGTTCAAGCATGCATTTTACTCAAGTAAGTTTCGATACGTTTTTTGCCCATGTCATTTTTTTTATTCGATGGGGCCCAGTTCTCAGGTTCCGGCTCGAAAAGTACAAAATTATTTCGACAGTATATGATGATCAGGCGCTAGGCTAACTGATAGGGAGCAGATAGTTTTTAAAACAGCAAGAAAAACATCCTCTTTTTTATTTTCATGCTCAAAAGAAAGATTTTTAAGAAAGAAATTTATTAACCTTCAAGGCACTTTCAAACATCAAGTGTCTACTGGACCTTTCTAAACTGCCGTCAACGATTCGGACGGTTTTTTAATCTCGACACCACCTTTCCGTTCCTGTAAAGCCTATCGTGCCAAACTGGGACGAGGGCGAGGGGCGAGGGGGGGGGGGGGTAGAACATCCTAATCTCTAAAACAAATAACGCCTTCGAGTGCTGACTCCTTCATCTGACTCTTTCTTTCTATAGACTGAGACTTTAGCACGGCTAACTAAAGAACCGCCGTAAACTTCCTACTTTCAACGCTTTTCTCTTTATCTCCCCTCCCCCCCCCCTCGCTCAAAGCCCATTAGACTGGGCCTGAAAATGCTGAGAGAAAATAGCTTTTTAAACCCTTTATTATCACTTTATAAATCGGCGGAAAATCCGAGAGCTGTATTGAACTTAACAAAGCTACGCTGAATCACAGAGTTCGCTGACCTACGTTCAAACCATGACTCCGGTGTATATTGACATAATACTATTAATACTATCAGTTTTGACAGCTTCGTACACCGTCATGGCAAGGATATATTAGGGCCACAAATTACGGACGTTCGAAGTGTATGAAAATGCAGTATCGTGCTTACTATTTACTTATTTGGCTTCCAATCGAATCATTATGCCCTATTACTACCACTAAGTTACCTATTAACCGCCCCGCGTTATTTCAGGAATATGGTTTGCTCCTAAGGGCACAACCATACCTGAATGACAGATACGTAGTTAACTTCGGATTGAATAAGAACTTCCTATCATATATGAAGATAGGCTCAATTTACTGGCAAACAAATTCATCTATTGGTCCTATTGTAGGGTCACTGAAACGTTAGTAGTTAATCAACAAAATTCAACACGTTCGTTCTTCGTAACTAACCACGAAGATTCACATTTAATCAAATATAGTCCCAATACTGGATGACACAAGGGTTTTGTGTCTAACATTTTATGAATCATTGCGCATTAATACTTATAAATTATAAGTGGTTAAGGGATATAAAACGAGTGGGAAGCCAGGATGCGTATAACCAATGCATCGACCCAATGCTTACTTCTTCCATCGAAGTATATCTGTGTATCTGATAAAATCCTTCTTTGAGGCTTTTTCTTGATCCCCCCCCCCCCCCTGTCAGATAAATTTCCTCGTACCTAGCTATACAGCCATAGATCGAATCTGTCCCGCAACCAAGACCAACCAATATACAATACGTACAGAGTGCTACCTCTCAATAAACCTCTACTAGTGGCGTCCGCCTACGCTTCTATCTGTGTCTATCAAAGCGAACATTTAGCCTTCGAAACGTAGAGGCCCGATGGCAAGCCCCCAAACGTCTGTGAATCACTACAACAAGCCAAGCAGACCATGTGACAGCCTAGCTAGACGGATGGCCCAGTTGGCCTAGTAATTCTTAACGTAGCAACAAAAGGGAAATGCTGGATACTATCAGCAGTACCGATATCAGCATTACTTTGCGTTGTAAGTATATCCCTGTTTCCCCATCGTAGCAGTTTTGTTCCAAGCCTAACTCTCATGCAGAGAAACAATAGCTAGACCGAACCGAAAGCAGCTTGCCTCTTTCTATACTTACTTGCTTTCTAGAGCAGCTGCACCCCTAGTGGATCTATAGAAAATGAAAAATGCTCTCTTTCTCTCTCTGAGTAGTGACCATTTTTTCTAGATAGGTGGATTTAATGTCACACGTATCAGGTCGGCGTTAACATCATTTGAGAGCTGAGATTGGGCAACAGAAAACATGTTGAAATTGTTGGAATGCCCTTGTCCAGATTTTAGATAGGGTGCCCTAAAGATAAGTGAAATGTAAAAACAAGTAAAATTTGCACGAAACTCGCTATTTTATAATTTTAATACGATAAAGGCACAAACGCTGCCCATGCCCATAAGACAATTGTGCTGTTTGTGCTCAAGATGCATTATTAGACAAAAAAAACCCGAACACGGTTTTGGTCCTTTTGTTCTGGAAGTTTAAATATGGACAATGCCCTTTGTAATGAATGACCGCTTACGGAAAAGTTGATAAAATTACAGCGAACATTGGATAAGACCCACCAAAGATATCACGAAAAAACTAAACATCTACCACCAAGAGTTTGCTATTTAAAGAAATTTGACCGCAACAAAAAAAGCTCGGTTTTTTGGTACCATCTGAATTAACGCAAAAATTCGTATTACCACCTGCGGAACATTATGGAAACGCAACGGAACTGATCGCAGCTGATCGCGGGATTGCATACGACAGTAGTGTACAAATGAAAAAAAAAAAGATACGTTCCACAACCTCAAAGGCGTCAAAGAAGGTTATGCTCTGTCCTTAATGAGATTAGAAAACAATCATGTACCCTGAGTCGCTGCCAACTGACAAAACGATCGATTCGGGTTATCACTGTCAACAACTAACAGGATCACAACAAACCATTAAAAAAAATAGCCCAGATACAGTGAATAAAAAAGAAAGTTTCGTCTGGCATCATGATAATGCCGGCCCACATGCATCTTTCGCTAGCCAGTAAAAACCAAATTAATTTTAAATGGCAAAACTTCAATACGCTTACTGTATAATCCGAATTTTGCGCCATTGGACTATTTATTTCAGTCTCTGCAGACTTCCGTTAATGGTGGTAATTTAGTTTCAATAGAAAGGTACATAAATAACTTGTTATGATTTTTCCCCCCAAAAACCAATAAATTCCACAGTGATGGAATTAGGTGGTAAATTCTGTTGTCAGGTGACGGATCTTTCTTAGAGGCATGCTTCGTTCAGTTTGGCATTTCACTCTGTGTTACAGGTTTAGCTGCAGCTACAGGGATGCAAACGGCATTAAATCAATCTTCCAAAGCTGATCTTTTCAAAAATCCCGTAAATAGGTTTATCTATGCTACCTCGCGTCTGTAATAAATAACAAGTCAATGCATCACGAAAATCGGACATAGCGACGTCTAATATTGCGAATGATCTCAAGGGGCTAACAGTGGCCCTTCTTCTCTTTGACTTGTTTTTTCTATTTAATGCATAACATTTATCGTAAGTAAAGGGCAAAAACGGGTATACGATAGTAAAAAAAAGGATCAAGACAACAAAGCCTACATTTTCCATGATACATTTAGCCCTAATTAATTACTCCCTGAATAGCTAGCTATTGGTCATGCAGCGAGGACACGCCTTTTCATCCCTGCAATTGTCTTGACAGAGGTGTCGCTTCAAGCGGAAAGAAGTAGATATTATTTAACGCAGCTGTCTCGTAGCATATCAAACAAGACTTCGGCTAACTTCGAGCAAAAATGCTGAGATAGGACAAGAACGACGAGAAACGTCGGAAAAACAGTTTGTCCATCTATTTTAATTCATAGGGAGCTACAGAAAAATTCAATATAGACCATGTTGTCCGCAAGATTATAAAAATTAGCGTGGTCAAAGCTGTAATCAATATACTGTGAACGGTACAGGTGTTGCATACATTGATTAGTTTTTGTTTTTCAACAAATCTATTGGATTACCAGCTCTTATGAAAAAATCGTGTAGAAGAGTTTCCACACAGGTTTTGCTATGGCGCTGTCTTCACAGAGAAAAGCAGAATAGTTATGTTTCTCTAGCTCTGATCCTTTTCACAGCAAATATATCTGTACCTAATCTGTTACGTAATATAATCGTTTATAGAATAAGAGATCTCCACGAGTAGTTCCGCACAGACATCACAAATACCGAACTGACTAAAAATATGCTCATGGTTCGATCCAAAAAAATTTATAATCAATGACAGCAAACGTGCTTTTTCATTTGATAGTCGACCTGGTAGCTAAACTCTGCTTGCCTATTCTGGTCTGGTTAAGGTTAAACGCTAACGCATTATGCAGACCAGATTTTTCGGCTGACGCATACTGCGAGACTCTAACCCATTAAATCCTCAACGCGCCTGCTTGAGCCTGTACTAGCCTACTTCGATTTTTCAACCAAGCGCGACCACTTTTTTAAGTTTATTACAGTGATATAAATTAATGGAAGAGCTGATATTATAGTACCAGAATCTGATCGATGGTACGGGATAGTCAGATGTATGCAATGGATATAATTACCAGTTTTATTATCACTCTAAAGGGACTGCGGTGTCCTCCCTATAGCGATGCTGTACCGGCAATGCAAACAGTCACACGTTCAAGATCAAGGTCACGTGAGGCAATTCAACCGACCTGGTTTGTCACACACAAAAGTAATAGAGTCGTTTGTTGCGAAGACAGTCGTTTGTTGCTGAGAAGATATACTATGAAATTTGAATAAATTATTATTTATTTTGTTTATCATTAACTAAATGATGCGTACTCATCAGATGATTTTTAGGCACGAGTCGCTTCGAACATATTTGGGGGCTCATTTATAGTCACTGCCATCGGTTAGCGGCACGATCCTTCATCGTGCCGCTAACCGATGCATCGTGCATTGGTTCTAGTGGAGTTTGCACAAATGACGCAAAATCTCAGTTCGCATGTGCGTTCCGGTGAGGGACGATTACTGCGCAAAGCAGAAACAATTGACGCCATAGAGCCATCCAGTTCAGCTCTAGTCAAACGACGCTCGGCAGTACATATAAAACGTATGTTGTTATTTTACCATGCCTACGTATATTTACGAAATGGATAAGGAATACAATTATGCGAAAGATAGTGGGTGTAGATTCAGTGAAAGCTCATTGCACGTTTGCTACGTTTCAAAAAAAGTAACGTAAGAAATGAAGAAAAGAAGAGAAAGGAAAAGAAAAGAAGTTTTGAGACTATGAATAATTTGACTCCAAGAGATAGACTATGTCATACAAGGGATTTTTTTTGTGAAATTTTTATTTACCAACCTAGTCTGATGCTGGTCCTTGGGCTGGCTGGGGTGGCATGAGGACACAGATTCAGATAAAATGGTCCTGTGCCTTGTCTTTAATTATTATCTATTTTTCTCACTGATCCACTAATTTCAGCCGTGGATTATTGTCTGAAAATCTTTCGCTAGAAACAAGTTGCGTACGGAGTGAGACCTTTGAAGACAGGACGAAGATAGTGAAAACTCATTGAACAAGAAAAAGAGTTCGTAACGGTAAGCGAAATCAATCTGCATTGTACTGAGGAGTATGTTTTCATGAAGACTATGTTTTAATATTAAACCTATTTGAAGCTTCTTATTTCATTATAACCGACTGATCCGTAGCTATATCAAATACCTAACAAGGAAATATTACAAGTTGATCAAATGCAGGAACAATTGCCATATTATCTATAAAAGATCCTGCGCATAATACGGAATTATGATTGATTAAACATGTGGCACCTTCTGTGCTTCGGTTGCTATTTTCCTTACATTGGATCTTCACCAAGAACTGTTTGTTTTTTGTTTTTTTTACAAGAACATAATTGTTTACGTGCGCGTCACGACGCTCTGTTGAGTCAGAAACTTCATTGCCTTTTGGTAAAGTGAAAATTACTTCATTGTGGGCTAAGTGATCCAATTTGGCAACCCAATCAAAATGGCGCATTCGTCAAGATCCAGCCAAAGGGTTGCTTACTAAATCGCTTTCCTATCTTTTGGCTGAGTTGTTTATCCGTCCACAGACTGGTTGTCTTACTTCCTGTTGAAATCTCTCTTGTTTCAGATTAATTTAGGCCATACCTGATTGTTTTTCGGACCCAACTTGCTTACTGATGATCAATGTGCCTCTGTACACTGAAACACAACACAGAATACGTATAGATGGCGACTTTAAGCTTGCGCTAGTCTTCTATATATATATATATATATATATATATATATATATACCACATATATATAGTGGCACTTTGGGCAGATCAACTGATTGCGTTTTTCATACTGGAAATTGAAAATATGAGAACGAGTATATGGTAATTCATTTTCAACTACATATGATCAACAAACAATATTTGTTGAAAATTTAACTTTTTTTAAATCTAATAACTTCAATATACAAAACTTCTCATTTAACTCGTGCGATCAAAATTCCAATCTGCTCTTTTTTTTTAACCTGAATCTGATGTTTAACATTTCAGTTATAATTTTGTTTTAGAAGTGAAACCTATACGAGCACGACAATCCAATAGCCCAAATACGGACACAATGTGCTCGAGCGCACCGTTAGCTATCTGCCATATTTTTTATTTTGCTCTTTTACGAAATAGGTTTTTTTCATGTTATTAAATGTTATTTAAATTAAATGAAATAAAATTAAATTAAATATTATTTATGTTAAAAAATGTGTCGATCAAGACTCGATGAACTGTCATATGTTTATACCTGCCATATTCGACCGAAGCTCTCTGCAGTACGACGCAAGACGGAGTGCAGTACCATATGTCAGTTTAGCCGGCTTTAATCGTAAATTATTACTAAGGCAACACGGCACTAGCTAGATATTGCTTGATAATCTGGAGGTTACTGAAACAAAATGGCTCAGCTTTTACGTTACCTTCAGCAGCGGTTATCTATGCTAAAATAATGTTGCCTTTAGTAATCGGACAACGAGAACTGAGCATGGCACCAATTTTCGAAAATCACATTATCTAGGACAATGCTTATCATGATTACTGTTATCCTTCCACTCCTCCTTCTTATTATTAAGGGAAATTCTATCCCTTGGATAAATGTAACGTTGAATTGTTTTTACTTGATAGAAGATTCCAAACATCATCAAGACTCTAGGAAAGGGTAACAACAAATTATTATATTTTTCCCTAAAAATTATTTTTATCTGCACTGATTTTTTCAGGGAACTGTTGCTAGTTCTGTGATAGTACATGCTGTTAGCAGGATTTGCGCATGTATTAACTTCCATTCTTTTCATACGAACTTCTCTTTGCTTAAATATTCGCACGCGTAGCAATAGAACATGCCACCTTGACGCCCTTTCGCTTTTTTACAAGCTTTATCGCGGCGAAACGTCGAGCAGTTGAGCTTCCCATGAATGAAGAGTCGATCAAGCTTCCGTGCGTCTTTATTGTCAGCAGAGGGCCAACAAAACAATTTCACACTAGATATGATGAAGGCATGTTGTGCGGCACAGCTTAATTTGTTTTTGAGCCCGCTCTGTCTATTCGAATCTGAGACGATTTCCATTATGTTTAGCTTTTCCCCATTCATCGTGCGCTATGACGCGCGTATCAACGGGGATTGGTGGAGTCCTAAGCCTGCAGTTCACAGCAACCAAACCTCTTTACTGCCGTTAAATATCACCGGTAACTTTTAGACAGTTTGTACAAGTTGCCATGAAAATGATTACTACTGATATGTTTGTTGATTCGGCGACGGGCCGTATGCGTGTTTGCATATAAGCTTGCTATTATACGTTGTGTGCGGCGCCGCCACGAGCTATTTCGAACTGTCTCGTGCAAGACCCAACCATCATGACGCTAGTCCACATTAGAAGAAGAAAAGAGCGGAACAACAACGTCCTGTTTGCTTACATCCATGGTTGTACGTCTGTTATCTGAATACGCAGAAATTTGTGACAGAACCCCACCGGGACCGTCCTGGCGCGCGGTGCTACCCCTATCGAATCGCGCAGTATTCTACTCGTTCTAGAATCGCGAATACTATGTTATGCGTGTTACGTCCAGTTAATGGTGCTTCTTTTATCTACAAGTGTTCGTTAAGCTTGAGCGGAACACAAGAGTGACTTTTGACAGCTGGTTAAGCGGCCATACGTAAATGAAGTCGTTTTCACGATACAGCGCCTACGTACTTTACGTATGGATGGCCAATCATTCTTTTGAAGTTTCTCATTCGCTCTGTTTCAGTAAGCGAAGCTCTATTTCATTTTTTTCGTTGAAAGTAATCGACGGCGAAAACTCGATTTTGCGAACCCAGATACGATGATACCACGCGTTGTCGAAATGTACGTATATATAAGCGATTGCATTCTAATATATCCTCTGCCAGTAATGCCAAGATATGTGTTCACTCTGGCAACAAAATATAGCATTATAAGCGATACTATATCAAACGCCACTTTTTCTTGACATGGAATTGTACACTAATTTTCTAGCACTTTGGCCCATTTATGGCCAACCGGTTGATAAATTCCGGTATTTAACATCGTTAGTTGGGTAAATGGAACGATACAAACTAAATCCCTTCGGAAAGTCTATATAACAGGTGTTTCTTCTTTTTATCCGTTGAATAAAGTCGATTCATTTCAAGTTCTTATAAGGGAACAATGTGAAGTCCCATATGATAGCAGCAAAAAGACACAAGTAACCATATTAATACAGCAGAGAAATTCGAAAAACAAATTTCCCCTTAATGTTACTAAGTAAGCAACTAAAAAACATTAAAAAAACTTAGACTCTCGCTATGTATCTGTTTTCGTTGTTGGCTGACACATACGAATCCTTAAATAGAAACATGTCGAATATGGAGATCAGGCTCAGTTTCGTGCGTTTTCTCTACCGTTGATCTTTGCACCTAAACCAGGTAGGGCAGACCATCTGATGCGGCCGTGCGGCCTGAGCCTGCCTATCGTACAACGGCAGTAGAAGCATCAACAGCAAAAGGAAGTGACAAGCCAAGACAGATTGTCATAGTGATATGCATGCACCTTTCACTCCTGCGTGTTTTCTCTCTTTCCATCACACCGGAACAAGGACGGTCTTCGTTTGGCGTTTTATTATAACAGTTCTGCGTGCGCCGAAACGTGAAAGTCGGGCGGATTTGTACAAAACCCAGCCCAAGGGAGAATTACTACTGTGGTTGACCCTTCCATCTACAGTTCTCCTGTCGGCCATAGAAATAAAATTCATACGGCTTTGCCGTACGGTCAATACTGAAGCGACCCTTCCCCCAGCAGTCGACAACAAAGCTCTACAGTCTACTGCAATAGGGTGAGGCCAGCATCGAAGGTATGCGGGTCGAGGTTTATAAATGTCACCTTGTGTTCCGGCGGGCAAAATTTATGTTAAAACGAGAAAGAGAAGTTGCAGGGAGCAGCAAAAATAGCGATGGCTTTTGTAGTGATTGTAGAAACTAGATACAAAGAAGCAAAGGAACCAGAAAGCTAGCGAACTTACAAAGGTCATGATCGGAATACAAGTCTTTCATATAGTAAGTGCATGTGAACAGGCCTTGCCAAATTTCGTTTGATGCTAGTAAAGCGATGAGCTCATGCCGCAGCTGGCTAAATGTCTGCCAGACGTCAGGCTACCAGCAGCCGATTGTCGTGACAACCGTTGATGGGGCATGACCGTGTCATCCTGTGCTCTCCATGTTAGCTAACATTGGCAGCTGAGATTTGGTGACAAACAAAAAACAACCAAGCTAATAGCATCTCTAAGAAAGTGTTCGACGAGACAGTAAATGACTAATTTTTATAGAGGTAAATATACATCACATGAGACCGATACTATATCACACAAGCAATGTTCGTTTTACAATTAGTTAACTTCAGCAAACAATTACAAATATCAGGCTGAGGTTTTTACAGGCTCTCGAGCTTGCATACGTTTTGGTTTAGAAAGATTATTCGGTGTTTTTTGGTTAACAAATTTCGGTAGACTATACGTTTTGTGTTATTGCATAAAAGCCTTTACTGGCATTGATTGCTATCGGATCGCATGCAACGGTAGCAACTTTATGACCTGCACTAAGATTCGAGGTTAGACATGGACTGTACATCAGCCATTTGATTATTATCGATCAGGAATGATTTTATGAAACCTGTTTTGCACGTCGTAAAGTATGAGCATACTGTCATCAAGTCCGTCGACTAAACCAGCCTCTGTTGACTCCTTTGCACTCAAAGTAACAGTCACTATTGATCACAACAGTTGTTGATCCCTTTATTTGGTATTGCGGCCTGAATCGGCACTGTTACACGGTGTTGTCACTGTCCCTGATAGATGTAGTGGCACTATGTCAAATCTATCAATGATAACGGTCAAGATATCAAAACTTCTCGTCTGCACACGCATACACTTCCGACATAATTCAGCCTCCGATACAACGTTAATTCAACTGCATTACGATCAATTAGTCTATGTTAAATGTACATGACAAATTTAGAGGTTCAAGGATACGTAAACTTAATAGGTATACTGTACCTATTGATAGGACTCGGGTAATGTCGACCGCCAGATAGTAGAGGCATATGTAGGCGTTCAACATTTGCGCCCAGTGTTTCCTTCTCTACTAACGGAGAAACTCCCTTTAACGCTTTCGCTATACGATGTCTGTCGTATTGACCTGGGAATATCGAAGGCTCCCGAAGTGTAAACGAAAACACTCTCGGAGCTTTGTTGTCGACTGGCTCTCGTTTAACCATTACTTTTCCTTTTGCTGTCAGCAACTTTTCTAATCGTTCGTGGTTTTTTCAAAACACGTATAGAAATGTTAAGGAAAACCGTTTGTCCCAAGACTCTAAGCATGAAGCCAAAGCCAGAGATATACACTAGGCATATAACCGTAGGGGCATAAATATATGGTGCATAACAGTGAGAGCATCAAATATCTGCTGTGCTCGCCTCAGCCGGTCGCTATATTTAACGAACAAAGATTATATGCCTCTATGTGTTCGATCAAAAAAGGAAATTAGCATGAATGTTTTTAGTTTAGCAGTATGTGTAATGACAAAAACGCTGGTCGTGTATGTGCTAACATTGACAGACATATATGAATGCTCGCATTCGGAATTTGAAGCGCCTTTGAATGAAGTTTTTCCAAGGCACCCTTATAATGACGCAAACAAAGCTAGAAAACTCTCAGTCGACGTAGGGCAAGCTTAAATACTAGCTTTTTCATTTGGTCTTTCCCCATAGAGACGTTCTAAGGTAGAGATTCTCACGCTTCACAAAGTTGTTTGTGTAGTTGTCATGCTAAGGCAGCTCGAAAACTGCAATATATATATGAGCTGTTTGAAGAATATGTGTTTTCATAGGGTCAATGTCATTGTACCAGCTTACCTGTTATGATCCAGAAAAAACAGGCACATAGGATGAGTTCTGTGTCCGAACGTGTCAACAAGCTCAGCCTTATGCGCCTTACGATCTGTGGCTTTCACTTTATCCCGTTCGATGTCATCCGTCAGTCCACCAGACGCGCCTCTTACGAACTCGTAAGACGAAGCCAGAGGTGGGACTTGTGTCGCGCGATAGCTATTTCCTTCCTATGCCCCTTCAAAAGCAGCCCCTTCTCGAGAGTGGTGTCATATCATATCGGAATACAGGGGACCAAGGGTTCTCATAAGACCCGAAGAACTCGGTAATTGTCTAGGCGCACTTAGGCAGGCTGCACTGCACCTGACGTTCAATTACCCCACCCCTGAATCATAAGCTGTCGTCAACAGCGTCTGATTTTGTCCAGCTAGCTCATCAGCTAAGCTGAACCATAGAACTCTTTCGGTTTAATTAGGACATAGGAAGCTGCTACAAACCTGGACGACGACCGACTTGGTTATTGACAACGTGCTTATTGAAAGTTCGTTAGCGGATCTCCGTATATGTTACCACAAATTGCAGTAATCTCACTGAGAAAACACACAAAACATCTTATTTTTGACTCTCATCTTGAAAACTTATTGAACACATTTTAATTATGGAAAATCTAAATGCGTTTACTGTAAATGAAATAATATAAGGTGTTCCTAGCGTACAAATAGTCAGTCTATTTGTACGCTAGGACGAAAAAGGCAATAGTATCTGCCATAAAAGAGTCTTAATATTACTATTTATTAAACCAAGTTATATTTAAATATAATTAGAGTGCACTGTAAATATGCTGACGCATGCATTTGTAAAATGTATGGTACATCAAAACGGCCTCATAAATATAAATATCGCATTATTACATATATAGATTGTTGCGGTATGTATTATTGTAACAAACGGCGAAAAAATCTAGATAACGTACCGTTTTTCCCCGTGCCGCAGTTTGTTTAAAATTATTACCGTTTCCATTAATGTACTATAGATAACGGTAAGCTATTGAATCAGAAACTTCAACGAACAGTTACTATATTAATTTTATGCTGCATGCTCTAATTTAGTCACGTAACAATAACGTGGTAAGTTAGTAATAATAATGTTGGATCATCTGGAAAATGGATACGCTATTCCACAAGACTCCTTTGCCCAAGCCATTAGTTAGGCAACTTTTCATTCTGAAATTCCCTTTCATCATGACGATAGTGTGCTTACAGCTTCGCCTCGTTGAGAAGTAAATCAGTCATTTTCACAAAAACCCTTTCGTAGTAATGTGTGCACTAGTAATGAAGATTCTTGCAATAAATTCGAAGTAATAACCGGCATCAGTCACTGTATTATCCAGAAAAAAAAAGAAGGAAAAAGTCGAATTAATTTTCCGCCTGAGATATTTACCACATCTTAACTCCTGGTAGATGTACATGCGGATTTACAGTTATTCAGCACGTAGAAGTATGTTGGCTAATTTCGATTTCTAATTTGCGTGTACATCCATGGTTTCGAGCGATCTTCCCAGCCGAATGTGCGTCCTGTTGACAGTCTTCCAAGGCAAAGTATTTTCCTCGGTCCGGATCATCTCCATTGATCGCATGTATCATTGGTAAAAAAAATAGCTACAGAGTATTAAAAGATGATAAATATTTAAGTTGCTGACTTTAAGCTTGCGACTTAATTGTCGTACAAATTTTGGAACGTTTTGGTACAATTTTCCAGTACCCTAGTAGTTTTCGGCTAGTGGGGTTCGTTGATGTGTTTGGTCTTCCTGAGTGTTGTCTATGAACTCCTGGATAGTTCCATCCGTTTCCAAACTTATCTCTGAACTGATTAATTGGCTGTCGCTAAGGCGGATCTGTCCATAACATTTCATAATATTATGTCTGAATTTTACTACATTTTCATACTTCCATATATAACGTTTTTGAAATGCATCTTGGTTTCTTCATGACTTAACCGCAATTACACCTTACCAGGGAGAAAATAATTAGTGTTTGATTTATTATTTAAATTAATTCTTACTGCAAAAACTTATTTAAGAAAACATTAATGGACACAACAAATTATATTTCTAACAGGATAGGGCATCTACAAACTACCATCCTGATGAGAATCTTCCAAAGAGGATGGAATAGACAAAACGAGATTCTCAGAACATTTCGCTCGTTCCCTGGACCTGTCGCCAATGGATTTCACCCTGTGGGAATATTTGAGAGGTATACCAGAAAACGAATGCTACTGGATAATCTGAATGCTGCAATTGAGCAAAAATGCGGTATAATATTCAGTAAAACGTATATTCAAGTTTGTCACTTAATAGCTCAACGTTATCAGTAGCTGTTAGAGTAGCGTATTGAACAGAACGGTAACTATTTGTGGAACATCTTCGGTACGGGGAAAACCTTCATCTTTTATATAGATTCTCTTGCAAGTTAAGTATTGATTATTTGCAATTAAAGACCGGACTCATAACCATTCACGCTGTGAAAGAGTCAAACTATTTTTTTTGAGGCACTTTATATATCTGGTGATGGGTCTACATTGGAAATGTTTTGGCGAACTGTTTGTTGTAATGGGACTGAATTTATTTGTTACTCCTGGTACTTATTCCTGGAAAAACCAGTTATTTCTGGAACATAACAATATTGTCGTTACGACGAATAACGTTACGTCGTTATTGAAGTTCGAACAGTTTTTCCGTCCTGGACAGACCCTCTTTTATTTGAAATTGATGGTCTACGTTTTTGCCAATTCTCGTAGTTCTTCTCAAAAAAATGTGGGGCTATAATTTTCTGAACACTATCGTTGGAGGCAGCCGGTGTCATGGGAAAGAAAAACGTTATCAGTATCGGCAGTGAACTCTTCTATTGTATGGTCGAAGTTGGCTCATAAAAATGCATTTATTTTCAAAAAAGGATTAGTTAAACACTCATTTATACCACTGGCGAAAGTAGTCCCAGTTTGTGGAGCGAGAAAGTCAGTCACTCAACAAAGCTAAAAACAAAATATTTTTTTTTTTGTTTATCTAAAAAGGGTTGTGATTACTATTGCGTCATGGCAAACACGAAATGCGAAACAATAGTCAGCTGTCCTTTATAGCCACTTAGCACAATAAAATGACGTTTAAAAAATTCAATTATACAAATTGCACTAAATCTCTGGGCTGTGTTCATTCCAAAAGATCTGAAAGTCTGACAGTAAAACCTAGGTTGAGTTGGCTCCCACCGCGGGTTCCCAACTTTTCGTTTTTCAGCTTAGCAGGAAATCTCCCACAAGCATTATTGTCTGATTAGAAAGTTCATTCCCGTAATGTTTTTAAGCGACGACTCACAGTGTTTCTACTAGTAGGTCCTTTACCGCGTGTTAACTTGGTAAACCGATTTGCCTATGCCGTTGTAATCCGAGAATGAAACCCAGGTTCATCAGCAGCTCGAATTTCTTGGGTTATTGTGGCTCATCTGCAAAAAAAATCGGGTAATGATATCTGAAAGAACGGTTTCAGATTCCAGATAGATAGTACCAATGCATCTAAAAAAAGTGTCGCACCATTATAACTTACTACTGCTAGTTGAAACATGATAATAATGTTTTTCGTATTTCTCAATCAATGGCCTCATATATGTCAAGTCCTGAAATTTTGTGCGTAAAGACGTTCTTTGTAACTACCTACGCTTCTACAAGATGATACAAATATATGCATGCATCTACCTGCAAACCGTAAGTTAGCCGAAAGCCTTTTTAGTGGACGCAAGTTACGTGAACCATTGTCGAATCATTTGTCCATTGCACACTACAACATATTGAATGTAATCGAAGACGTGCCAGGCCTCAGCGTAACGTCAAGATGTGGAAATATCTGTGCTATATATGTTCTGCATATATATATGTAATAAATCTGTACGACGACAAAATAACGCGATCAAAATGAATAACATGCAAGGATCAGCAGGTAAAAGATGGTTATTTTAGTCTTTACTTTATATCTGGGCAGAGGCTCGCCTGTTTCAAAATTAACCAATGACATATGCTACAGAGCTCATGTGATTAAAAAAGAGGTATTACATATATATATATATATATATAATACCTCTTTTTATTTTTTTCCATATATATCTATATATATATATATTTTATATATATATATTTTTTTTTTGTATTGCAGTTTATGTCTAAATGAGATTTGCTAATTTAGCTGGTTCATTTATTCCTTCCACCAATGCCTAGTGCAAACCCCTTTGTGTAGTCGAGTGCGTTCCGTCACATCGACAGGCTATCGTGGGATTACCGGCTGCCTCGCTAAGCGGACTGAGAAAATTTAATTTCGATAGGCAAACTTTTTTGAAGACGTGTACCGTTGTTCCACTTATCGATAATTAACCCGGGTCAAATGGCCGTCCGCTAAAACTATACCCAGTCTTCTGTTGAACGCCGCTACATCGTACATTATCGAGAACTATAAATAAGATGACAATATTACTGAAATAATAATATTAATAATTACTCTCTCTACTAATAGTACTAATGACAGCAGGGGATAGAAAGCCGTTTTTTCTAAGAAAATACTGTCTATTGGGGTTTTGGTCCTGCTGGACACAAGGGTGTATTTGAGAAACGAAACCGAGAAGATACCTCTCCTGAGATCATTTATTTGAAGCGGCCTTATCTTTGCACGGTTCAAGGGTTATACGACCATTTCTACCAATCCTACCATCTGTTATCGGACAAACACGGAGCAGTAATTACCTGCCGGTCGTGATTTTCCCTCGTTGAGATCGCCTAAAGCAAAGATATATTTTGAACGCACGTCATAACAGAAGTAATTCAACATTTCTAGGCTTCGTTCGAGACGATTGGCCTCAAAAACATGAACTAATATACGATATGTGTTACATTTGTAATTCAATGAGACGGTCATATGAAAATCACTTTCATAGATTAGACGGGATCGTTCCTTGATGCCTCCTTTCGTGCGGCCATATCTACAAAGGCGTTGAAGAAGACCTAACCATTTTCAGTGGTTTATACTTATTTATATTAGATTTCTTTGGAATATAAAAGTTTATTTGACATATCATCATTTTTATATTATTATTTTCTACAAAATATTTCTTACAGTTACCCCTCCCTAAAGAATAAAGTTTCGCTGAGGGGTGTGGTCAATTCGCTGTTCCAAAGGTATACCCCTTAAATTGTCATTTTATTTAAACAAGCGCCTAAAATTAGGTCTCCTAAGTTCGAGGCTTGATTCGAAAACGTTCTGACTTACACACAGAATTTAAACGCAGGTATAATCGACGTCAAAGCTGACCTATTCCGCCGATTAAGTTCCTATCAAACCTTCGAAGATATTCCAAATGGCAAACCAAGAATAAAGGAACATCAATATACGGAAAGTTATGGAAAGCTTTGATCAAGTCGAAGTGTTCCAATTAGTGGTACAACTATAAATAGAATATCAAAGCGATGATGAAGGTCTCGTTTGAAAAGCAATTGTAAATGCAAAACGGATGTTGTTACCTATAGGAGTATGTTTATTTGAGTAGGCTGGTAAAGCGTATGATACTTTCCATCTACAAGCTTTCAATAATTATCGAGTCGGCGCCCTGCTAAAGGACATGAAAATCAAATGAAAAGGACTTACGACATCGGAGATTGAGTTCTAGTATAAGTCAACAATGTCTGTATTATTTCAGAAAGCTCATTTTGAAATACCAGTTGTCTCGGAACCTCTCTACGCAATTCTATACATCACAAGGCAGAGGTAGTAAAAAAATTTCAATTTCTAACTAACTAATCTCGGTACGCTATTTCCGTTCAGCTGACAACTATAGTACAAAAACCAATGGACAACTGGAAGAATACCGCCATTTCATCCGTGAAGTAGACACGGGATCTACAGTTCGTCTACGTTTACGTTGGTACGAACAGGCGTGGGCAAAAGTACGGAAGGTGATTTGTTAGTTGGCTTGCAGAGATTGATCTGAGGTCTGCAGTCACAAATCATAATGGTTACCGATTTCGATGAGCGGGGTCAAAAAAAACGGACGCTCTACTACCGGTGGATAAGTGTTGACCCTGTTGGGTAAGTATCACGTAGGAACTACCTCATACAGGTGTTATTAACCTTTTATTAATCCAATCTTGCTGGCAAGGTATAGTGACTGATGTCATTTACCGATAGTACAATAGACTCAAACGGAAAATATATTTGAATTATTGAGTTTAGTTAGTATAAGTACAAGCAGCACCCTATCCATATGTTGAAACATCATTGTATCGTATTTGGCTGAATGTATCTCTTATCTTAAACGAACAATACAAGAACTGAGATTTCTACCATAATTACTAACAAGCAGTCTGGACGTATTTGTGCCTAACGGCGGTGCTCGATGTAAGACCCGAAACGTTCTGTTTAGGGTAGGCTGTTTGTTTGAACCAGATACGGTGCATCTAAACGGCTATAGAACTACGAAGTGATTGAACTCGACGGTTCCATTAGATGTCGCCGTTACATTATCACAATTATTATAATCTAAATCGTCTATGCGCTATAAGAATCGTTTTGTGCCGATCTGCTTTCTCTGTGTTTGCGTCCTATCAGCTGTAGTAAACGTACGGGTGTGTGTTTTTTTTTCATTCACACTACATACGTTAGTGTTAATAATAATGTTAAATACAACAGCGTGCGCGGATGTGAGTGTTGATGTATGGCGTGCCAATGACGAACTGTGTCATGCTTGATTCGTGGCTCACTTGCATCCGTGCTGCGGATAAATGTCCTATCACAGCTTTTATGACGTTTTCTTGAGTGACTACCATCGCTACGTAACGGCATACGGTGCCTGGCTATCTACACAGACTGGCTGATACCTAGCGACCGCTGATTGTGGCCACAGCAGCATCAAGTCGTAAGCTATTAAAGTAGCAACAGCGGGTTGTGGATGCTTGATGACGGGGTACAGCATGTAGCAGCTTACACACGTCGGCGCTGCGGTAGTCGAAACAAAGGACACATATATGTTGAAATCTTCGAAATGGCGTGTGCCGACGCTGGAGTCGGGAAGCTAGGTGGCCGGCTCGTTCTTCCAGTCATCGACTCCTGGAATCGCAAGGTGGTGAGGGAAACAGGCGCTACGAACAGTTTCAATACAAGTACATAAACAGAATAATGTACCGTTCTCTTGTCTCCGTTTCGTGGCATTCACCGGAGCAAAACGAAGTAACGACGACTAGAAGAGCAACAACAATAAAACGAGCTTATGCTTCGTTTATAAGAAGAAGCTCGAAGGGCTCAGCTGTTTGGGGTGACAAAGTATACACACACGAAAAAAAGAGGTTTCAGCGAAAAAGCAGACTCTTCTGTTCGGGTTTGACGACTCTCGAAGCATTGAAAAACAGCAGAGAGACTGAGGCTGAGCATATAAACGTGGAACAGGAAGAAAATAACGGCCGTCAGTTGCATGCGCGCTGCTTTACCTGATGTAGATTCCATAGTACACCGGGAGAATTCGCGAGTACTACCTGTTCTAATTAAATCACTACGTAACAGGCGGTGTTCCTTTTACATTTTCACCCGGTGACGATCAACTTAATTTCACATTAAAGTATTTTTTGCCCGTACAGGAGAACTACTACTCGATAGAACATATGTTAACAATAGTACATACGCAACTTCACGAACTGTAATATCTTACATTCAAATAGACGTCTCGCCACTACTTATTAAGTTCAATAACAGTTGCCGTTTAGTGCTGGGTTTTTTTTATAAGTTTAGTGCTGTTTAGTGCTGAAGGGAAAACAACCCGATAGCCATCAGCCGAACAGCGGTTCCAGTAAAAGGCCTAGTTAGAAGTAGTACAGTCAAAGTGGGGATTTGACACGTTCTGCAGAGCGGTTTATAAGGCTACATTTCTATATCGATATCAGATACCCTACCCGCGCTGTTTTGATGTGGTATAGAGATGCTAGGCAATACTGCGCTTTGTACTCTGTATTATCGTACGCATTGTACCTGATATGCCGAATTACGGGTACTGCCCTCAAAAGATCGGTCTTCAAATACTACCGAATAGGTTGAGGTACCATTCCCAACGAATGACATCTCTGCCCCATGTCCTCCGACACTTTAGCACAGTAAAATGCTACTCAATGGAGATAGCTTATTGCTTCCGCTGTCGCTCCTACGGCTAAACGATATGTGGCCACAAAGTTAATGGGGTGTTAAATTAAAATGGCTAAGATTACTAAGCAAGTGAGGAAAGAATAGTATAGCAATATTTAGATGAACACTCATATACTAGAAATTACTATAGCTAATATATACCTGCACTAAGTAATAGTATTACCAACTAGTTATAATGGCGAGTTGAGCCATCCTTCAATTGCGCGTTCAAAAAAATTCGTGTACGTTCCGTAAATTCGACATACAAAAACTCAGATCAGCTGTGCCTAAAAAACTGCTACACGAGCTAGACTCTAATCAAGACAAAAACACATAAACATATTACTCGTATACACGACCATGTTCTAGTCATTCACTTACGGAACGCTGAGGCTGTTTAGCATCAATGGAAGCACGTTTTAACGGTCTCTTTATTTTCGCACGTATCGGTTCGTCCTTAACACCTGAAGCAAGCCATTTCCTTTCATGGGCCCACCATAAACTGAAACAAAAGTTTTCCTTCCCAAGTTTGAACAATAATCGGCTATCGTATAATCGCTTATGATAAACCTTTATAAAATTAGAAATTTACATAATCGTCGTACAGTGGGTAGGTTTAGGTCTGCGGCATTTTCTCTACATGCGGGATACATTTTCTTTACATGCACATATTTGGGTGACATGTCCGACCTGATTTACCCGATGATATAAGCTTCGTACAAGAACGCAGTCACAACCTTCTATTAAAAGGAAAAATAGTATCTGTGTTCGCCAAAGTTTCGTTAACCTAACGGCATTAGCCTTACAGAGTAAGCCATGCGAAGACCATGACTACTTTACGCGCAACAAATATCACAAGAAGGTCTTTGAATAAACGCTAGCCGATATTGAAAACTTCCTTTCATCTACGCAGAAAATTTCCTCTGCGCAACTTATTTATCATCGATCGTAAATATTTACTTCTTTAGGCTAGCACGGCCACACGACTTAACAATATAAACATTCAAGCGACGCTTTCGATTCAAACTACAGACCGTCCACTAGAACATTACACATTTGTAACGCTACTTCCCAGCGCAAAAAACCAGTTGCCTCGTAGCTTCAACACATGTTTTTCAAATCTGCCGCCCTTTGTTCTTTCTTTCCATAGCACAATCAGCGTGTTTAAGGGACCCGACACGAGTGAAGCCTACAGTTGAATGTGATAGTACAACCCGGTTTTGTGTTATCGTTTCAAGCGAATACGCAAATAGTCGAAATACCGTCACTCAAACTTATAAGCTCTAATTTTTAGAGGTTCAATAGCAAGTTTCTCTTTCGTAGAAAGTCTCCCATATCGAATATAATGGTAATGTACGTTTAGTCGCATACGATCCATCTATGATCGTTTGCCACCTTACGGTCGATTCTTTTGGGCAAAATTTTTTTTGCGAACAGTCGATATATTCCAATTGCCCAGTCACTTGTGCGTCTGCATTGTTTCTTTCTTTTAAGATTACTATTGTTTACCTTGTCGACCTTGATCCTCCATCCTTAAATGATAGTCAATGCCCGCGCGTGAAGCGAACATTAAGGACGGACGGGGATTAAGAACTCTGATTCTAGATAGCCTAGTAATTGCAGAGATGACCTTACTCATTATGCCGTATTGGGCTAAGCCAAAAGTAGCGACATCTTGACTATCGTCGACGGTGACGACGGAAATCATGAATAGTAAAGCTCTTTCTCATGGTCCTTTAGCCAAACGATAATTAGCCATTTATCCATTTAGATTCGTTAATTGGTAATTACTGTTGTTTGTCGCACGACTCATATATTGCCTGCTGGCTATACAACGATTAGCTAAGCGGGCCTTATTTCTTTCACTGCCCGCTGTCGTGTATGACCCTACATAGTTGCTGAAAATGCGACATTAATTCCTGCTGTTCATTGGTGATATATTTTGGCGATTGTCAGTGTGACGCCTTTAGTTGGCGCCTTGGAGACAAGCATTTATTTCACTGTCGTTACGTAACATATTACAGACTACGTTGCCATCCGTCGTATGACACACGAGAGAACCAGTGTACTATGATCAATCCTCTATTCGAGATGTTGGCTGACGCTACTATCCAAACGTGCGAGCAATACGTAAAAGAGCGTCTTTGCCGTACAAAAATAGATGACAAATATATAGCATTCATTATGGCAAACAGTTAATCTTCCATGCACAAATAGGTTACCGAGTAAATTGAAGATGGATGTCATTCATTTCGGCACCGAGGTTCCATCGCAAGCTCTTGAAAATGAAGCATGTAGATCGAAGATGATAGATATGAAACTTCTGCTTGGTTTTTGTTGTTTCCTTAGATGGTATTTGGGCTTAGCTCTTTTTCTACTGCTTAGCTTACGAGGATCGCACCCCGTGACAGCCTCGCAGCCCCGTGTTTGCCTCCATAGATTTTAGTTTAGCTATCTTTGATGCGGCTTCAACGACTGATGGATGATCTAACCTTGATGACAGCTCAAAACAAAGCTGAATGGGCGAAAAATGAAGTCAGCCTTGATGGCTACAGCCACCGCGATTCAGTCGCCGCTGTTCGCTGCCACGGCCCGCCATTCGTTCGTTAATTCACTCCACTGGCCAAAGCCGGTCTTGCGTACACGTGTTCCTTATTTGTGCTAATTTTTCAATTGGCCCACAACCCACTTTACTCTCAGAAGTTAACATTAGCTATTACTCAGTCGTTGTACATCAGCGTTGACTGATATATCATTAGTGTAAAACAGGATGATAGCAGATATATCCTTAACTGGTTTCAAGGAATATATATATTGATTTGTCAATCAAATAAAATAATTCACAAATTTTGCACATTGTCGAATGTTTGGTAAGAGATACCTTGGCACCGAAACTAGGTATCTGCATGCAGTAAGAGCTGTCCTTTTCGGCCTTCTAATGGAATTGCTATCGAAGGCTGAGACGTATGCTGTAATGGCTGTTTATCGTCACATCGAGCTTCGAATCTACTCGATATTGTTGTGACCACGAATTATTTGTAAGTACATTTCAATTGCGCACAGCGAAGCGGGGCGGCAGGACCATCCTAATTATGCTATAAGAAGGCCCATTTCTCACGCGCAAGGTCTTTGGATCCTGCGATTTCTTATCGAAGTGTGTTGTTTTTACCTGTCGTAAATTAGCTTCAGTGCTTTCCCTTCCACCGCAGTTTAAGGAGAGCTGTCACTTCTGCTATCATGAAAAAGTAGAGGGAGCCAGCTTTCATATAAAAAAAAAAAAGCTGTACGCAGATGTTTGAGTTGGCTGCGGGGCTGGCTTCGGCAATACATGAAATTTCTAGCTGGCCTTATTTGATTGGCCTATCACTGTGTATGTAGCTGTCGAAAAAGCTTCATGGACCCCAAGTTACATTATATTATTAAGCTGTATCGGATGGGCGTTAGCGTTATTTCGAGTCTAAGGTTTGGTAGCAGTAAACACGTTTCTGGAATATTTCTAGTTCAATTTGAAACAAAGAGTCTCCAAGATCAGTGAAACTGCCACAAGATTTTGTCCTGTTTTACAGTTTTACTACGACAAAAAGACAAATACTACCCAGGCCCGTAAAAAGAAAAATAGTAAAAAAAAAATATAGTCAAAATGGAAGAATCGATCCAAAAACCTTAACGAAAAAAACGTTTTTCGTAATGCTCGACCGATTACGGCGAATGGTGACGTTTTCATTATCGACGATCAGGATCATCGACACGCGACTGGCCATCGCATCACTAAGAGACTAAACAACCGTATTTCCATCTCTAGAAAACCGTAAAAAAATCACCAAATAATTCCTAAAGCAGTTAATAACAAAACTGATCACATGCATCATTAATGTGTGAATAGCAAAAAACTGAATGAAAAATTGTCTATCAGATCTTTCTACATTGACTCCTTCTATAAGACAGAATCGTCACATGTTCTCATTTCTGAATGAGCAAAACGTCACTGTTCGTCACTTGACGGTTGGCATTATGTGCTGTTCAGTGATAAGCGCTTAAACGACAATGTAGCACGTGGAATTGCGATGAAACGCACGCTAGCCTTTTCCTCTCGGTAAAGCATGCCTGACAGGCCGCATTCGAGAGCGACGGCAATTTGGATGTTTTTGTTGACACAACGTACGAAGTAGAATAGATGCATTATGTATTCCTTTTACGGAATCTGTTACCTTGATCAATTCCAAATCGATAGCCTATAGTACCACTTCTAATGTTTAGCTGAAAAAACAATTCAGAAGCACGAACGATTGTCCTATAACAATAAATTTTGCTTTTCCCTAAGAGCAGTAGATCTTATCCTGATCGCACTTAAGATTTTTCCTTCTGGCAGACACAACAGCAAAGGTTAGCAGACGATTTGCGAGTGTCGACACGCTGGCGCGATTTTCCAAATACAACATGATACCTCAAGTGCTAACGCGGTAAAAGACACATGCGAAAACGCAGATCTGGAGACAGCGTTTCGCATCCATCCTGCGTCACTAGTGAACGATCGCGGGCCAGTGACTGATAACGGACGGCGGCGTCGGGGGCTTCGGCGATGGCGGTGGGTAACTGAAACGTCTCATGGCCTGGAGAGGCTCGCAGGAATCGAGGTAAAAAGTAATGAATTCGACTGTTCGAGCTGTCAGATTGAAAAGTAGGATAAACAGCTATGTCATCAATTCTCTTCGACGTGTAGCTCACGATGCTGGGCAAGTAGTTTGGTTATTTTCGATATTGCCGTCTGCACACTGTTAGCCCTAGTTCTATGATCATCCCTTTTGCATACGATTATTGTATCTACTGAGAGGAGTTGGTACATTGTTGCTTATGGACTCTTCCAGATGGATCTCGTCTTCGACTTATACAGTGAACATTGTGGTTGTGTCTGGAAGCCGACACCGCGCAGCAACCAAAATGTCCAGCAAACCCGGCCCTCATTATGAAATACTTATGCTAAGGGCAAATAGTCTTTTCTGCATTATTATATGTCCCATTAGGTAGACCGTATAGCATTGAGACTGCTGGTCAATCTATTTACTAAATCGTTACGATGGTATCAGCGGGTTCTGTCTCTCTAAGGGAATTGGAAACTTTTTTTTTCATCATAAAACGCCTGGGTGAAATACATTTATATAATAAATTTATAAATACGCGAGCTCTGTACGATCGCAGGCCCGTTGAAGCACCTTTTCTGTGTTTCGATGATTTCTCCTACAACGCAAAAAAGCACCTAATAGGGCTAATAAGAGATGTTGTACCAAAGGCTTATATTCAAAGTCGACACTTTTATTAGCTCGTAATGCCACACTATTGAAATACTAACGTCGTTATTGCTCATTTCTAACTTTACTTAGTTACGTCAGGGATCGATATCAATAAAGGCTGATCCTGCTCCTTAAGACGAACGGTAATATGGGTGATTAATCGTCTATATGATAGCACCGTTTCTGCGCTCGTTCTGTATCGTTGGATTGTAACGTGATGTTGTTGTGGCTGGCTTACAGGGATAGCAACAATAACAATAATAATAATAATGACCTAGCAATGACAGTAGTAGTCTCAAAACAAGTAGGGTACAGGTGAATATATGTATGGAGGTAGGAATGTATGGATGGGTGGATAAATAAATAGAGGTATGGCAGCTTTGTGGCTGGTGTCGGCTATCACAAACAACAATAGTCGATCAGCAGAGCAGGAGATGCCGACACATGGGCACAAAGTCGGCTTTGCTACCACCACAGTCGTGGTCATAGTTATGATGCTTTAATGTTTGTTTAATGTTGCCTTTTTTTGCATTACGCCACCGTAACTCGGGCGACAAAGATAACCTGTCTGCGCCACACTTTCTTGAGCCTCACCTCACAGTTCCTTCGGAGCCTTATGGGTCCTAAGAAGCTGGCTTGTTACTGGACGATTTCTTCGGCACAGGCCACACATAAAGGTTTAACGTTCGACCGAAGCATGTAGCGAGAATGTTCCAGGAAGAGGCCACTCATCGGTGCCCGCTTGTGCCGCATTTTCTATCGTCTGACAACGACGAAGTGGCGAAGAACAGAAGACTGTCTAACGAAATTTGCACAATATAAATAATATCATCCTATAAAAGCAATGAAATGAAAACTACCGGGTTGCTAGCACCGGAGGCCGTGTGCAAAGCAATTTTTCTGGGCAACAGTGGCGCCAGTTACCAGGCAACACCGTCAAACGCACGGTGGATTTCGCTATGTGGACTATGTGCGACAAAAAAGTATGAGGGCAAACAGACAGTTTACGTTCCGCGACTATTATAAATAACGGAAGGGGGGTTACACTAGGCGATGACGATAACTAAACGGTGGAACAATCCAATAAGTGACGAAGCTTAATACAGTGAACAAGTAAATCGTTCGTGTAACTATAAGTGGAAGCGTTTCACGTTTTTATACACTACGTTTGTTGTAAAGGGCCATGCAGTTTATATAGAAGAAGGATTGTCAGTTTAGACGCACCGTTTTCTCTCTATCTCTCTCGCTATATATATATATATATTGCTTCGTCTTACAACAACATTCCGTACTGACACAAACTTTATCGTATAAATTCGCATCGCTAGAGTGAAACAAATAACTGTAGTCCTCGTGTCTACGAAGGAAGGTGCAACGCACAAATTATTCAAATAGCGCCTGCGGGGAAAACCTATTATGACTATTTGGTCCCATTACACGTACATTGAAATGGTAGAATTTCAATGTACGTATTAGGTATTCTAATGCTTTTTTTCAGCTTAGGACAACATATCTCAGGTAACAACAACCGCGTCAGGTCGACTTTGGTGTCATTTAAAAGCTAACGTTTCAATTCATTCATAAATTCACAATACTATATCATTTGATTACAATAAGAACACTGTTTAGAGCCGTGCAAAATTTTGACTCGTTTACGGGCAGGACGTCTGATAGGAAGAAGCAGGAACACCCTCAAAGATGATTCTGCTGTTTTCGATATAAAAGCTGCTCTCCAAATACGATATGGCAAACATGTACCGAGATTACCACGTAAATAGCCACGATAATGCCAAGGGATGAAACATCCACCGTCAAATAACCTGAAAACGATTTGAAAATGATTGCTACAGAATGACGCCCAGTATTTGCTATTTAGTATGAATCTATGCCGAGTGATTTATTCGGTCTGCATTTTAAAGCGGCTGATCAATTAGTGATCAAAGGTCGATCCTATATTAGAATAGTATGTGAAAAAGATTAAAGTAAATGCTCCACAATTTGAGGCAAAGCCCACACTGACGCTAAAGAAAATGATCCAATATGTTTGGTGGGATTAAATAGGGATTCTGCACTATGAGCTGTTTCCAGCTCGCAACACGTTTTCTTTTTTTACTCAGATTTCCCACTGTAAACAGTTACCAAGGTTAACAGTGAGTTATTGAAAGGGAATAACTGGAAGAAAAATCGTCATCTTTTACCATGGTAATGTCAGACCACATACATTTTTAGCGACCCCTGCAAAAATTGAAAAAATTTGTATGCACAGTTGCCATGCATTTGTCGTCCAGCCTGGACCTTACATCACTAGACTATAGCCTGTTCCGGTTTTTACGGAATCTCTCTAAATGGTGTTAATGTCAATTTGTCAAAAAGGAAAGTTGTCACAATTTTTTGTCCAAAAACCACGAAAGTTCTACAGTGTATATATATATATATATATATATATATATATATATATATATACATATATATATATATATATAGATCGGACTATCACAACAGCTAAGTTTTTTTTTAATATATTCTGTTATTTCAGGTGGCGAGATGCTCACTGTGTCCGGATTACGTCACCTTTGACGCGGGATCTATAGGAACGCCTTTGTCTCGCAGGGGTCGATGGTGTTGGGGTAATGGGCCGAGTAGAGTGTGAACACGGTTAAGACGCCAGTACCGCGTTCATTAATTTCATCTGTTTCGAGGATCACTAGGAGCACAGGCGCACTCGGGCTCAACGAAGGATGAGGACCGAACAAGGAAAGACCACTAACAACGGATCAACGGCAGTCGCATTCTGCCCCATAAGCTACCACTGCTCCACTAGAAAATTGCCGCTGATTCAGCAAAGCAAAGTATCTTTTTCCTGAAAGGCGGTTAGCTGTCGTTCATGTTTAACTTCAACTTAATTGATTTCGTTGCCACCAAGTTGACCTCATCGCACACAGTTTGTGCATCTGAATACATGTCGTCTAGAATCAATCGATCATAAAAAAACTGCCTCTTCCTGCTGCTGTTATTATTAAAATATATACACTGTTAAAAGAGGAGAGATTATTCATTTTTTCCAGTCGAAGGAGCAGCAGTATAGACATGACTTTGATTGCAAAGCTGTTTCAGATTCATAACCAAAATTTTGCGTGTTTTTAAGACAAAGCCATTTTTAAATGTCCTCGCCTATTGTTACGTGAGCAATGCCTTAGTTACACCAGATATTACCACTAGCGTGACGGGCATAATACGAGTCTCTGATAACCAAAGTAGCTGAAACTAACAGAGGGGATCTATTGTGTATGTCGTATGTCGCTGTTTGGTGAGGGAGTAGCTCAGAAGAAAAGGCAACTACGCAAAAAATACGTTCAGTAGAAATAGAATAGGTCGTTGGTTGACTGTGTATGTCAATCCCTGTGCAGCATCCTGCGTATTACTTGCAACGTGGCTGAGCCGGGAAAATTGGGGCTCTCGCTTAGAATTTCAAGGTCACGGTAACGGCGACGCCGTTGTTAACAGCAACAACGGCAGAGACGACAGCGTTCGAATAGGCTGTACTCAAGGCGGGAAAAGGGGTGAAGGTCGTACAGTACGAAGTGCTACAGCTATCGCAACAGCAGCTACAGTACTCGTCATCGACGGAACGCAGTGGTACGAAAGTGCAGGGGGTGCGTCTAGCAAGCGGGGGTGTTCGTCGTGGTGGCGCTGTTGTTGTTATATGCGGTCACTGTTATTACCATTGTTGTGGTCCTCATTGTCGCCTTAGTGACGGGGGTGGTGAAAAAAGCGCAAGTGAGGTAGGTCATTGCGCGTAGGCCGTATCCACCGAATTGTTTGTTGTGTTGTTTGCCCCTCGACGCGGCCAAGACGGCAGCCGTGGCTAGCTCCAAGTCGAAGAAGAGGCTGTGGAGAATGGGCTGTACCCTAAGCAAAGCGGTCACCTCGCTGGTCCACAAAGGTAGCGAGAGATCGCCAGGCGTTGGTCGTGTGGCTGATGTCGACGACCCGCCTCCCCCGCCGCCACCCGATCCGCGCTCTCCCCTCACAGCCCGACAGATTTTCTCAATCTCGAAATCATGGAAAGCTATTGCCCGAGCCATGGAGCCGACCGGCGTCGAGATGTTCGTGCGACTCTTCAAGCAAAACGAGGAACTGCTTGAGTTGTTTACCAGGTAACCGACTCGATTTAATCACCATTCGATTGTCCTATATGTACATCTGGAAAACATGAGACACCCATTAGACAGGCACACGTAGTACGCAATAAACGTTTGCGGTGATTTCTTTAAGGCGCTGAATTACCGTGACTTGTTTACGAGCGTTTTAATAATAGTATGAATAATTGACTCCCTCATTCATACAAACGATGTCGTAGATGTCCTTATCGGGACTTGTTCCGATATGATTCGGCCATTTTACGGATCGAGTAGGGTTTGTCCGCGTTACGAAGTTGTATATGCGTCCGGAGCGATCTCCGACACGATTCAAACTGTTTTGATTACTATTTTATGGATCAGCTTTGCCTGACGAAAAGCTATACCGGAGCTTGGTCTCGAAAAAAGCTAATGTTTGTGTTTAAAAATTCGAGAGACTCTCCCACGGCTCAAAGGGCGCACTGTCAGACAATGTTGCTATGTTAAGTATCTTTATTCAATATATTGACTACTAGAATGTCGCTAAAGTTTCGAAGTTACATATTAGAAGAAATCATCTCTTTTGATAGTTATTAGGCACATATAGCATAAATAATGAACTGTTGGACGTGTGTACAAATTTTAACTGGCGAAAAAGGTAGCCTGAAGGATTCCACTTGATGCTGTCGTAAAGGCATCAGCTTCTTTAAGCGTCTACTAAGGAGTCGACTAACAGGTACTACATTGGTTGCATTAACAGGCGACAATTGACGCCTGCTAAATCATGTCTCGTGTGGCATGTGAAATACGTTTAGAAACCATCTCACATTGAGTAGGGTGAGTTACTCAGTGCCGGTACGAACATAAACAACGATTAAAAATGGATACTGTCAGCGTAATATCATTTTTACAATTGGTTGTATATATTGTTTAGTGACATTCAATTTTCCCAAAATCGTTTAAATACGGTAGACACAAAAACCATCGACGGGCCAGAAAAACTATATTTAAATAGTTTACTATTTAGGGCAAAGGCTACTCTAGACTGGCGTTTCACCATAGTCTGGAGTAAGTTTTTGCCTTTGTCCTTTGACGATATAATCAGATACGACCTTCGTTAGCGTTTTATTAACACAGCCGCTGTTCTGTAGTGAAAAATTGGCAGTACGCATGCGCATAATGCACAGAAAGTGGCTTCTAAGTAATTTATAATGTTTCGAAGTAACTACCAATTTTGAAAGACCAGCATCTACTAAGTCGCGTCGGTTTGATTTAACTGAGCAGAAAACTTATCTTTTTGTTTTTAGAAACGTCAAACTTCAGGGATAGTAGCAAATTCTAAGCGTATCATTAGAACGATTTTTAGGCTCGGATAAACAACTATTGGCTTTCTGTAAGACCAACTTACAAGAACAGATTTTTATTTATTACTATTTACTTCATACACATGTTTACTCTGGCGATTTAACGTTATTACCTAGCCGAACAACCTTAGCATGAAATTACATTGAGAATCCCTTTCTAACAACAAGGTTTTTTGCTCACATGGCCAAGTGCCCAACTTCAGAGGAATAGCAGTCACGATCACGTTCATCTATGGTCATTATGCTGTCTTTTTCAATAATCGAACACGACCCACAAAATAAGCGAATATAGTTTCCTGAGCGTACTAATAAACAATCGCAAAATACAATATTGTACGCTCGGAAGCCTAAAGCTGTGTTTTGGTATTTTTAATCACATGTCTCTCATTTCACTCATTACAAGTTGTACAAATATATTTAATGTTATGCCTAGTTTTTTTTCTCAAATACCTCGAACTGACTCGTTCTCTCCATCAACTTTCAACTCCATCATGATTTCAGCAGTTAAACTCAAGCGCTACCAATTGAATGAGACTCTAATTTTCTAATATACATCAAATACAAAATAAATAAATATAGAAATATAATACATTAAATACTCATAGACGTTTTGCTAGAGGATGGTTTGGCAGTTGGTGATAGATTATTACATACCCACTGACGTTGGCGTGGTTCCAGGTGAAAATCACTATGTGATGGCAGACTTAACAGACGGACGCGGTGTGTCGTTGTCACTTGGGTTATTTTCAAATAGAAAGGCGGTACAGTCGAAGGTCTGATTCTAAGCTAACCTTCTACTTTTGTGTGCCACGATAACTCGTCGCCGTAATTAGACAACGGCTGGCAAACTGCGCGAGCTAAACAGCTTCACCTTTTTTTAATGAACTCTAATCATTTTGGATATCATTAGACTCAAGTAAGGTCGAAATCAGCTTCATTATGTAGGTTATCATCTATGCTAAAATCATACAGATAAACCAGTACCAGGGTCCAGTGTGTTTAACTCATTCAAACACACGATCGATACATAACCAATTTCAACATATAGATTAAAACAAAAATAGTCCGAAACAAGATCTTAGAAAGTGAAGTTTCAAGTGTACGCCTTCAACTTCATACGCGAACACATCATTTTCCATTTGACTGCTCAACAAGAAAATGCTTGAGAGCTTTTTAGTAGAAAATTTAGCAATAAGAGAGTACTCGGAGATGGTAGAGATGGTAGACTAGTATAGCATCTGTTTCAGAAGTAGAACTCGAAAATGCGAAACAGCGCATCAGGTTTGTGTTCCCTAGCTAGCTTAAAATAGCGTGATGTTTTTTCTACGGTAGCTCCGCGTTTTTTTTTTTGTGTTAGCAGCTGAATTCGCCGTATGCTCACGTCTGCGTAATTACTTCTTTGTGGCTTATCAAAGAAAATTTTAACAGCTGTGTCTGATCGCGCCCACATCGCTCATGCAGTCTTCTAATGGGGAAAAGTAAATGTGGTCCCGGCACACGCTCCGGAATATGTAGCCAATGTCTTGCAATAAATCTAAACAAGGACAATAGCGTGCGACATATCCAATCAGCGATCTGCTCTCCTTCAATACATACTAATAGCTCTTATATGTGATACCATCGTTATTACTGTTGGTACAACGTTTCTTTTGCAACAGAATGTCTATCTGTATAACTAATCGAATGTATATTATATGGTATTAGGGTAGATTACAGTTCTGACTACCATTCACGTACGTAGTGCTATAGATGTTTCAGTATCTAATATTTACAGTGTCTGGACAATGGGCAGACATCGAGCGAGCGCAGGACGTAACATGTTCATCTACGAGAATAGGAACGCGTGAGGTCCTTTAGTTTCGAAGGTGATCTATTTCGGGCTTCGTTTCGTGCTGGAGGGTCAGCATGTCTAATAGCAGTACCTAAGCATAAAACTGGCTACAATTATCAAATAATTAATTGTATTGAGTCCAAGCCATTTCGTACCGGCACTCGGCGCCTAGGACCTTCTGCCTTGGCGTATAGCTTTTCCGACACACAGAGCTGTAATTTAAGTGGACCTAGAAATATCTGTTGGATAAACAAAAACGATCGTCATTTTTAAGACTTGAATTGATGACGTCCTGTTTTCAATGGCGTCCTTCGGGTAAAAATGGTGCCTTTGAAAACACATTTCTATTAAACGGCAATGGAGGCTTTCGCGTGGAAGCTTTACATTTCAGGTGACGAACCGAGAGTTCTCAGAAGGGCCTCCTAAACTTCCAAGCCGTGTTATCAGAGACTTAATTTATGACTAATGATTTCGTCCATCCAGCCATATGAATCCACGTATTGTAAATCATTGATTTTGTCCTCCGTCATTTTCACCGAACTGGCACGCAACTATTAGAAGGTTTGTTGTTGGTCACAGTTAGGTAATTTCAGTCTTGCCTGACAGGTTGTTTCGTGGGACGTACAAACGAATTTTTCGCGTCAGATTTCCTACAACGGAAAAATTAGTTAACGTAAAAGCTAGAGCATGCATGCATACAACAAGTGGCGCTGATGTCAGTGTTTGTTGCTATATTCGACGCAAAAGACACACAGGTGACGCCACGCAACCGATGACAGCGCTTGCTTTCGGGTAAACTGATTATTTTTTTTTGCTCTTATCATTCACATTCAATGTATACAACAATTATCCTTGCAATATAATTGCAATAACAACGATCTAGCTTAGCTAAGCGCACGTACGATTCCTTCGCTCAATAGAGATTTTGTGGTCGTCTGCAAACTTTGCTACTGCGAAGGACGAATTTACCGTATAATATACCGTATACATTATAATTACACTGCCCACATGTCGATTTTAACGTTGCATCTATACAGTAGTTGTATTTCTGTTTGCTTATGTGTCTATTTAGAAAAACAAAGCACACAGAAAAAAAAAACTAACACTTATTAAGCTCAGATGCGTCTTGTGTGTACGACCTTTAGTTCTATCCTTTATTATTAAAATAGTTCAGCATCCCTCATGTTAGATTGACCCGTTCGATTACGTCCGATGAGCTTCCGGTTCATGATTATACATTCTCAAATAAGCAATTTGAAATAAATAAATAAAAGAGGTTCTCTATCAAGACTCATCAAGCTCATCTGGTACTCGAATATATCCAGCTATTTGCAGGCTATTCCAGCCCCGTCAGCTGATACAAGCACATGTTTGCATTGTTAGAAACTAACAGAACAACGACGAAATGGGTTTTCTATTTGTTTGTGATGCCCAAAAAGAACAGCATGCAATCGGCTTCATTTTGCCTTCATATCGTGCATTGAAACATGTAATCTTTCGAATAGTCATTCAATGATGAACAGTCAAATTGTCGCTCAGGGATATTCGTGTTCTACATTCCCACTTGAAACTCTCATGCCCAGATGCGCTTGGGTATGAACATAGAAAAATTATTTAAGCGGGCTTCGAGGTACGTTTGTTCCGGTGTCGAACGAGTTTACGCAAAAAGCACGTTAACGAAGACCAAGGCAGAAGAAACAGGGTGCTGTGTAAAAACCTCCATTAATCCCTCCCTAAATATACAAACTCCATAAAGCATCACAACCAGCCATCCGGCAGACAATTGCGTTATTGCTCATAACATGATAATTAGTCATAAAAAGGGACCCAAAGTTCATTTTTATCCGATTATACCATATGTATTTTATCGAGAAATTGGTGTTGGATAGTTTTTTGCATGCGGTAGACTGAAAATATACATCTTTGTTCAACAAAAATGATAAAGACCTACTTGCGGTGGACCTGAAACGGATCTTTCTGAACTAAAATCTATTCAACTTGGTAATTTTTTGTCCGGAATGTACACACGATACGTGCGTTGTAAACGACTGCAGCATATGTTAACCCTTGAAACAAACTCGCTAAGCGTACCTCTGTACACCTTTAATGACCCAGATCTTTCTAACACTTGAGATACTAATAATTATGGCTTTGCCTGATGTCTCCCGTCCTGTGTATTTGCAGTTTGGGTTTTCCCTTTAATATCAACCTGCTCGTATATGGGATATATGTTTTAGAGGGCTTAACTCAATGTACATGTACGTGTTAGATGAGTTAGTTCAATATCTCTTGTTGTGAGATGATTCAAGAATAAACACACGTCTATAATTTATTAAGTTTTGATCCTATCTCGGCTCGTTTCTAACTAATTATCACTGCACAGTAAAGGTTCGATATGCCAACCTCGACCCTCTTGACCGATCACGGCATCAACTCTGGGTTTTTTTGCAACTCACAATTTTTGCACAGGACATTTTAGAAGCCAGTCTATAGTTCTACCATATATAAGCCGGCGTTGTTCAGAAAGACTACAGTATTTTTGATTAATTAGGTCATCTGGCAAGAACAATGGGGTACTCAAACCTTGCTTCACGATTAATTCTGCTAAGATCGCCTGGGGCGCTTTCTAGGATATTGTAGTTTAATGGGTTCACGTCGTATGAGTCTTGTTTCGTGTAAATACTTGACATCATTACAGGCAACATTACGTTAGAAACGAAATTTTTGTCGCAATTTAGGTCGCTTTATGGGTATTTAGCCATTTAAAACGAGCTTGGGTCGTTATAAAATTAAGAGAAAAGCATTCAAAAGCATTACTTAAAATGTAATGAAATAGTTAAATATTAAATTTGTGTACAAATTACCCAGAAAGAAAGATTCTAAAAGATCTTATTGCTACACTTTGTGCTTAACGCAGAGAAAAGTCTATAACAAGTGAGTTTTGATTCGATGACTTCCCTGTTACCTAAAAAGACACCGCATCGTCTTGTTATCTAAAGATTTTCTAAAAATTACCGTACGTGATAAACCAATTCTAAAGGACCGGCCATGTTAAATGCACAATTGAAAGTCTGTCGACGACAGACTAGTTCAGTATTTTTCCGTAGGGTTCGTGATATACGGTATTGTCAATGCCCATTATTACAATTAAGTGTCAGACGAAATTTTATTTATATGTAAAAGGGTTCTCCGCCTACAAAATGATAATACCCCGTTCCCATTGAGTTACCGGTAACTAAATAAAGCCGTCACATGTCTTATGAGAGCGACTGATCGACAGCCAACGACTCTGCTGATGCATCGTTATATCACTCTTCTCCTTTATGTGTACACACGAAAAATTCTACCGGTCAGTTTGATTTATTTAAGCCCAAATCTTTTCCAAATTGAAGTATAACTGTATACTCATTAAAGTAAGCACTGCTGTGTTCGGTCACGAAATAAAAAATACGAACCCTACACATTAAGTCACTGTCAACGTGTAGAACGAGTCTGGACTGATCACGACCAATAAAATTTACATTATCACATGTTAGGAAGCGTTTCAATAAGCTATTAATAATACTCTAGACGTAGTTTCTAGCGAAACAGAAACATAACGATACGCCTTCACATAATTTAAGCCAATAGTCTCTATGGCGCATAATTTGTTACTAGATATATACAATTCAGATACGTAATCTATATATAAGCACGGTTTGTTGCGGTCTATAACTCATCGTACCAAGCTGAGTATTTAGGTTGAAATAATAGTACAGTCGGTTGCGGAAACAAGAAGCTCGCCTAGCAGTAATACAGTTTCGCCAGAAGTGCGGGAAACGTGACCCGGATTGATGACGAGATCCTATGACTATAGTGATTCATGTAACTTGTGAGATAAAAGGGTCCTGTTGTACGAAGTATTTACTAATTGTTATAGTATATTTACGAATATTCTAAAAAACGAAGGGGAAAAGATTTTAATATTACGGCAATCAAATTATAGCTACGCATATCTCGATTACTGAATAGCTCACTATTGAATTCATTATATTACCACTTATTTTTGATTTCAATTGACTTTGCTCAAAAATGACGATCCTAAGAAGGTGACAGTACAATTTACCATAGGCAAGAATCTATCGACAAAAACGTGCAGGAAGTCTGTCTAACTGCATGGCAGTAGTCTGTAGGCTTGAAGAATGAAATAATACTCCTAGAAATAGCTCTGTCCTCAGTTCAATAAAGAGTAAGCTCTTTCAATGCCACTTCAAGGTCCAAACAAATGCGCACTTGTCTTCTTTATTCTTTTTCTGTACTTATCTTCCTCGATTATACGACAGCTAGCTCTACTAACGACTGCTTTTCACTGTCACTGCAAACAATGACCCACAGTCAATTTTCTCTTCCCATTGTCTTCATTTTCTTTCTTGAGCAAGAAGAACAGATACCAAATATAGAACATCGTACTAGTTCGCCCTAAGGGCATGTTTTCTGAGAAAACTACAGGGACGGACCCGTTCGGCCAACTACATCTTGAGCGTTTGCTTCAATGACGCCATTTTACTGCAGCTATCTCCCTCCCGTTCTTTCCGTCGGTGATTATGGCCGTTCGACATTTGCTACCGATAATGTCAATGCGTACGCTGCCCAAAACGATTTCGCCTCCACAGAGGGCAAAAAAATCGCTGCCGCGAAATTAACTCCTTACAAACGTGCGAACGATGTGAAACAACGTCTGCTGCTGGGGTATAGCGCAAAAGTAATGCAATCAGTGATTGAAGGGGCGACTGGCTATACAGTCTGTTACTAGCATAGGAACACAAGGTAGAACAAAGGCCACATGTACGTTAAAGTATTCTTTGACTGAATCGAGGTCACTGTCCTAAGTTACATAGTAGCATGGGAAACATAACGCCCTGGATCAGGGAACGGCTGAATGCTTACTTAGCTTAGGCAGGCACTGCCTCTTCAATGACGGCCAAGCCGATACGACCATTGCCTAAAATAATACAAATGCTAAAACTATCTAGAAGTGCTTTCGGTAAATATATTGTACACGCGCACACATGTCTACATACATAGATGAGATTTGTAGCAATATTAATATACTGTTTGTACTATTGTCGAACAATGTGCCTACAGTAGCTATGTTGCGTCTGTAATTGAAAAGGGATAATTTAAAATCACTTCTATATTTCATCTTATATTTAATATCATTTTTTCGCCTAATAGCAATGCTTTAATAACTAAAGGATGAACAAAACGAAACGTCCCGCACATAAATATCTGTTAAATATGTTATCTTAATATATATTAAGGATATACGACATAAATATGTGAGTGAATATTCGAGATAAAAATAATTCGTATCAGGAATGCTACAATGATAAATTTACTTTACTTAGTAAAAATAGTGCCATAGTTAACTATTTAATTATCATGGAACTGCACGGAGTCTAACGCATCTACTAATGGTATTGTTGATCCTGCTTGGCTGACTGGTGATTGTGATGGCCGATGAGTAGTTTCCAGGCGCTGAAGACAGAAGATGAACAGCGCGAGTCAATGGAGTTGGGTCAACACGCATCACTCGTAATGACCACCTTGGACGAGGGCATCAACTCCTTAGATAATCTCGACTATTTTTTCGATTACCTGCATAATGCTGGAGGACTACACTATAAGATCAAAGGATTCAAAAAAGATTACTTTTGGGTGAGTAATAATTGTTTGATGTAAAAAAGGACATTTTTTGGGGCCCCATGGATAGAAAAGTGTACCATGCATACGAGTGTATATAAAGCTTCGACAACTTAGAATTTCTTAAAAATATATTAAGAGAAATATTTTCTCTTCAAGATAGGTCACGGAACTACTTCGTCAACCGCTTAATTAATGAAGCTCCAACTATGCCATTCCAGCTGTATACTGCTATACATAATTTTTGCTGATTTTACATACATGATTTTAATTATCTTTCAGAATAACATATGAAAAGTGCTTGAGATGTGTATATAATAAACCCCCTAATTTTTATTTTAATCTCTAGCAAAGAACTAAGTAGCCACTGTATAAATATTTTTCGACTTCGTTAAGAAAGAAGGGGTTCCGTAAGCTTCCGAACGCAGCCTCGCGTATGCTTCTTTGGGCCAATGTGATAGGAGGATCAATAATTGAAATGTTACCGTAGTGAGCTTGTTTTCTTTGTAAAACAAGCTCACTACGGCAAAAATAAGGGGCATCTGTTATTAAAATGCATATCGAATACCGTTCTACTTTTATATCATACTATTATGCCGTCCAAATGTATTCGTTGTGCTAGTACCAGCGACGCGTTACCTTGCCTCATAAAAAAGACGCTAATAAAATTTTAGCAAAACAAGCATTTTTGTAACCAATTTTACCTAAATAACTTTTAAATTATCTAGTTTAATTATTATTAAATTATCTAGTATCTAGGATTATATAATTAGGCTTCAAGTTATGTTTTAGTAAGTATCGCAAAACAAATTAATTAATAATTGCTAACACTATTATTCAAAATATCTAATACGAACGATGAGTTAGAAAAATGCAGAGTTATACTCTTTATTATATTATAGAGATTTCGATATAATCACTGTGTGTTTGTATGCGCGACCCACGATTCATTCAATTTTATATTATATAGCCATGTGTCACTCATTAGGCTTTCGTTTCAGCGTTCCCTTGCGATATCTTCGACGCTTCCTATTCCATACAGAGACGCTAGATTACGTGTGTATCATCTAAATAAACAATTGACGTTCAAAAGCACGCTTAACCATCACTTCCAATTCGGTAGTAGAGCTGAGTATTTCGGTAATATTATGGTTTGAATTTAGGTAATAGTTTAGCGATTTCATTTTTCGATAATGAGGGCCCGGTTTGGGCTTACCGTGACACACGCTAATAAACATGTTTTTTCTTTTTTATTTACTAACTAGCGGCAAGCTGGCTCAGAAACAATAACCGTCCATACGAAGGTTGTATACAATTGTATTATTTTTTTGAATTTTATGTATCTGTCGCCTGTCAGTTATTTGCTACCTACTATTAATCAAATATTTTCCATGAGTTAAACTGTATTTAAATTTCTACTATAGATATTGTTGGTTGCTAACGTCAGACCTGTGTTTGAGTCAGTTGCGCTAGTAAGCAACCTTGTGATACCTTATAGTTCGAATTACTTAAGTTTAACTTAATTCATTTCCTTTCGATAGGTTACTAAGCAGCAATAATGTATATTTATAGTGTCAAACCTGCAATCATACCATAAAAACGGTACTTCTTATCTCTCAAAGCAAAACGTGAAGGCTAGTTATAATAGAACTCGTCCAGTTGAGTATGGGAGTGTTTGGCAAAGGTGTGCCTGCTGGTTGGCACATGGGGAAATAAAGTACCTCTTCTCGGCCCTCTTTCCAACGTAGCACTAATCCTTTTTAAACTGAAAGACCTTCCCTTTTAAGTCTTTCGCGCAATCGTTGGTATCAATTCGTATATAATCGCATCTATTTTGGAGAGAATTGTAAACTCCCTCATGCAAGTATATATATTGGAAATTTTCAAATTATTAGCTAGAGTGTATCGACTATTTTAATTCAGTGTTCCTTTTCGTATCAGATTGGCCTAATATATTTACAACTACGGGTTTTCAGTTTTAATTAACCCAAATACGTCACCGCGCTCGCGAGAGAACCTCTACTCCCATGGCCGCTTTTTACTAGGTATCGTTACCTGTAGAGTAAAAGTGTACAATGCAGCTCTCGTCATGGTTATGCTATACATACGATGAAAATACAAGCAGGTCCATACATACTCTTATTGTGGTCTATCAGCTGCCTCGAATTAAATCTTATCTATGCTATGGCTTGACATTTTCCTTTTATCCAGCCTTTCACGTACTATACACAAACTAACATGCGTATCATTTTATTATACAAAGAACACCCCGATAGACAAAGAGCCGAATCAGCTGTCCCGGGGGTAATATCAAGCCCAACCGAAAGAGACATCTCGCTGTCAGGCTTTCTTTGTTTTATTAATTTCCTTCACATGTACAATGTTACCTGGGTTATCTTGTTTGTCCGTGTACTCTTGATCAATACCACCGTTCTTGTCCTTTCGGCGCCACTTTCACTAGCACTTTTAGAAGCCTATTGCTTTAGCTAGGTTAAACCTGGCCAATTTAACCGTACTTGTCACTTATATATATATATATAATCCACAGAAGAACTTATATATAAATTCAACATCATCTGATATTTAGGTGAACCGTAGCAAGAATCATTCGCATAATCCTCTACGGATTTTTCACCTTGTAGGTCTCCATTTATAGCTGCCTATTTGCTATTTGCCGAACGATCCATCATTATAATTATTACTAAAATGTTATTATATTCTGTTCTTAAAACTAACACCGTTGAACGCTTTTTCTTGCTTGCATACCTCACATAGATCTAGATTATACTAAAGCTGTAGTTCTTTTTTTTTTGTAACACTGTAATTCATAATATCTTACGTACAATTTATTTTCTTTTTTTCATTTTAATTAGTATACTTTGCTACAGTTGGTTTGCCTGGACTTTCTTTCTTGGTTGAGCTCGCTAAATAGCCGTATATAATATACGCCGTCTGATTCAATGCTGATGCTGTTCTGGACGTAAAATGCAAACCATCTATATTTCCTACTATCACTAAGAAAATGTCTTGGACTGCTAAAAACACTGTTTTATTGTTACCAAAATACTTGCTATTAATTCGGACTTTTCGGCAATTATTTTTGTATCCTATAATAGGACTTACTCGAAGACGGCGAAGTAAGGGACCGGTAAGTTGAATCAAAGTGGCGCGCTGGCTAAACAATGTGAACATGTTTGTAGGCCGAAGTACTCCTTAATATTTCTCGCTAGCTCTTTCGCTTGCGGGGCAATTAGGAGAAATATCTAGGAAGCATCGTGAAAGGGCCTTCGGCGAAACACTAAAAATGATCTTGGTCAAGCTTTTACCCGTCTACTTTTATCATATGGCCCCTACTTCTCTTCGGAGGATCAAAAGCTGGACCGCTTTTGATAGCCGAGCACTAATAAGCCAATGAGTGCCCTTGAACATGGCTGCAGGCTTAATGGTTCATCTCCCTTGTGTCTTTTTTGGTGCGAGCTCCAGTTCAACCTGTCGCTGTCTCAACTGTTTAGTATAAATCCGACTGTTCCGGCACAGTGAATTTGGCTGTGTTTGCGGCTGACTGTTTTAACATAGGCAGAGTGCGCGTTTGGTAGCTACGAATGACTTACAAACTTACCGCTGACTAAGAGCAGCGGGCCCAAGCTTTTTCCACTTGCTGATCGTTGAGCCCTCCGATAATGTTCCGCCTCCAGTAAAGCTCCCAGTTGGTACTATTGGATCGCGGAGTAGCGAATGAACGTCTTATTGACAAATATTGTGCTTTCGTTGCGTCTCCGTTCCTCGTGAGTTCTCTGTTTCGATCGAACGCAGCATGAGCATTCGACGATTGTGATCGATCAGCTTATCAGACAGAAAAATGTAAATGACAGGAGCAAAAACAATACAACTTGAAACACGAATTGAAGTATTTCAGCTAAATGAGCAAGCAACTGTGCGTCGATAGTTTCCCGTTCGACGTTCCGCGTCATAGATCGCCATCGTTATCGCCACAGCAGCACCACAAATACTAACTTAAAACAAGTATCGTAAATTTGCCTCTATACGAATTGTAAATGTCCGTACCGCAGCTGTGTCTTTCGAAGTAATTCCAGTTAGATGCAGCGTCAGTAGGCTCCCGTCTTTTCTGATAGAGGATTTTTCGGAGCAAATTGTAGATATAGACCTCAGCGCCACTGGTACTTTTACACAGATTCCTACTAGGCCACTTCAAAGTGTTCACCTTTCAGCTGTTTGTGGCGCTTTGGAAAGAAGAGAAAGCCATTGAGAGCTAGATCTGTTGAATATGTTGGATATGGAGGCAACAGCTGTATTGACTTTTTCAATACAAGTAGCGACCTGTGTTTGCTGACACACTATCACGATGGAGGACTCATTCAGACAGCACTATGCAATCGTTTCAAACTTCCTCGTAGCATTCTTTAATAACAAAAAATTTATCATGCATAAGTTCGGCCTGAATTGATGATCGAAGATTCCTCGAAAGTCGAAAACGAAGGCGAGAGAAGTTTAGCTTGTAAACTGAATTCTGCGACTTCCTTTGGTCTGGGCTTACTTTTAAAGCGATACTCTCGATTGTGCTCCTATCTCCGCTTCACAAACGTACACCCACGACTCGTCTTTTGTAACGAGTCGTTGAAGCGAATCTGATTACTCTTTCAATGGACTAAAGCTCTCCTGCGAGTGCTGTTGAGCAGTCTGCACTTTCTCGACGATGAGGTTTTTCGACACCATTCTAGCTGTAAGTCTTCCCACCCCTCAAATGATCTCTTAAAATAATGATGATTGAATGAATAATAAACGTGTATTATGTGAGATATTTGGCTTTTCTGCAAGATCTTCGAAGATGCTTCGGAAATTCTTTACTATGAACTGTTTCAAAGCCCCTTTGTTCGTTTCGAAGTTGCCGGTGCACTTCACATATACTCCTAAACTTACTAACTTCAAAAAACAGCAGAAACGACCAAGATCTAGTCACTTCAAAGCAATACAAAGCTCAAGTTCTAATACTTTAACATCTGGCCTATGAATAACAGACAGGCAGGCAGGCAGGCAGGCGGAGAGTTGTGACGTCACAAATCAGTCCAAAAATCGACCTTGAATCGATAAAAAGCAGACCTTTCATTGATACTTTTTGGATTCAGTAACATCTAGTACTACAAGTAATATCTACCGCCGTGTGTCAAATCTCTGAGAAGCCAAATCTGCTTATATTGTTGTTAAATACTATCTCGAGAAATACATATTTCCATGCAGATACAGAAAAAAATACTAGCCAGGAGTAAATCCTCTATGAAGATTATTACTATTAGTTCTTAAATTATGATCGCTTGATAAGGACAACAACAATAAATTTTAGTGGTTTATCGTCACTAACGAGACATGAGCAAAAAATAAGAACAATACGAAGTATTATATTATAATTAGCAGCTGCAAAATACCGAAAAGACAATCAAACGTATATTTATTTAACCCAGATATATAACTGGCAATAAAAATTAGTTTATTTACATATGTAATTAATTTACGGAACCTGCGGCCGGATGATGGTTTATTATCACTTGTTGGTAACATGAGTGCCAACACATCGTTCATTCACTAGATTTTGAAATCTTTTTTATTAAAGAAAAATGGCATTTATTCAATGTGCCGTACGTATGATTCTATATTTTGGAATGTATTTCACGATTGTGTTACTTCAATGATTAGCAAGTAGGCATTTTGTTTGTAATCTAGCTCGAATCAGTTTGGCGTAAAACGAAAGATCAAGCTTGCTGATATATATTTATATGTGTATTGTTGATCCCTCCTGTTATTTCCCGTCAGACAAATACATTATCTATTGGAAATGTTCTTATATGATCGACCTCGCTAATTCCGGCAACTCTGCATGTTATTTCTCGATTTTTTCCTCTGTTTTTTCAGCTGATAGAAAAGCCATTCCTGGAAGCAGTAAAGCTGACGCTAGGTGACCGCTACACGGACAACATAGAGAACATCTACAAGACAACGATCCATTTTATCCTCGAGACGCTCATCGAAGGTTACGATATGGCCGAAAAGAAGGCTATTGGCAGCCACTAATTACGGTAGTTCGCAAGCATTGCGAACTTATCCCCTCCCGAATAGAGTCACAATAACAAACGAAAAAAAAAAAAAAAACGAAAAAAAAAACAGAAAAAACGAAAGCCAAGCGTGGCCTATCAACGAGCGTTGGTTCTGAATTACTGAGAAGAATACTATCAGGACATATAACGAGTCACTTAAGCAGCTATGACAAATACAGAAAGACGTAAAAGGGAAGAAGTACAATCTGAACGAAACGGAGTGAAGAGAATCGACAATGAAACAAATAACAATCAATTAACGCTGTGTGTCCTTCTGCCCTTGGTTGAGTATGCTAGCTAGATGTTAGTTCCAATTCTATTTGTCTGAATCATTCTGTGGGCAGGTGGCAGGCTGGAAAGACGCGATTCGTTATCTCGTTAGCTAGGGATTGCGCTGGCTCACCAGCAAATAGCACAATGTTCATACCAAGAACTGTATTAAATCATCATTCTAAAATGGTGCCAGGCCATCCGGCTATGGGAAAGCGATGGCAAGTTCATAATGGTTTCCTGGTAGAAAGCTAACAGCAGCAATGGGACGATTTCAAACGGGTTCCTGCAGGCTCGGTATGAGGACGATATGGCATCTATCAAACCAACCACCTGTTTCAGAGTCGGAAGCTCACACAAATTTATGTCAGCAAAAGCTTACTTGTGCACAGTAGCGTAGAACTCCCAGTAGTTTAGGTTGAGTGAGAGTTCTTATCCTTTCACAAGGTTCAATGTTGTACCTGCCAGAACGGAAACGCAGGACTAACCAGCGAAGACCGTGTTACGACTGCATCGATTCGATCGATACGCAGTGTAATTTCCAGAATGACTACATTCCTTCCGAAGAAATCATTATACCCTGATTACTCTAACGTTCATAATCTTGCTGGCATGTCTCGTTCTGGCCTTTTAACCTAGTCGGTTATTAATATATAACAGAACGGCGTCGCCTCAACATTAAGCAAGTAAGAGTAAAGACCCATTTAGTGTTAAAGGGCATCTAACTCTTCCAGTGCTTCAAGGTTAACAAAGCTCGCCAGCCTAACTGTTTCCATCAGGAATTAGAGTGACCGAGTAAGCTAATGAACGTAGGACTAGATAAGGGCCAGCAGTAGACAAACGGGGATAAAGTAGTAAAATCATTTTCACCTGCTAAATGTATATGAGATTGTGCAATAAACCTGCTTATCGGGCCTGGTCATCTGAAGCTTTATACGCCGTTGCCCGACAAAGGCACGCAACAGAAGCAAGTCCTCAGGTCTACAAGATAACGCAACCTAAACCATAGTGGCGTGCATAGTCGAGACGATATATTAGACTAATAACTATGGACAGACACTAAATACAAATGTGTGGCATTCTCAGATCAATCCATAATCACCGATTCAGTATAACTTAAGAACAAAAATATAGCACATAGTGATGTACATGGAGAGGCTAGCGTGAACCGACAGACCTAAAACGGCCATTGTCAACCCTCTACACTGGTCACAATGAACAACTCACGGTTCGAGCCAGCCAGCCAGCCAGCCAGCGTTCAGGCGATCCGTTATAGCATTAGATGGCTGAAAGCCATGGACGTATAGTACTGCTCGACCAGCTTGATTCGCGTAACTGTCCACCAATAGACGTAAACGTCTTAGATGAAACGAACGTACTGCTATCATGGTAGTGCTAAACATGATCGGCAGGAATGGATACATGGCCTGAATCACCCGCAGTCAAGTATCGTACATCTGGGCGAGTGTTTAGATGATACAGGTTCTATATTACCGCAGATATTTGCTGCGTCGGCAAACAATGAGCGAATGAATGATGTTTACACATGTTAGATGGGCAAAATTCTAATCAGCTTAAAATGATAAGTGTCACAAAACGTTGTCCTTCAAAAACAACAATATTTATTGCCATTTTTTATTTGGTTATTTTGGTCAAATTTTCTCGTGGGTCACAGGAGTCTCGTTTTCTCATTCGATCTCACTAAAAGAGCTCATTGGAGCATGAATACACGAACTACTGTATATGATATAGATAATAATTTGAACGGGATTAAGCCTTCAGCAAATGTATACATACACAACTGATTCGTCAGATGATTACACGTGTGTACGAGCGATAGGCTCTGTATTATCGTGTGAGCTACGAGCCTGTATGTACTGATGGAAATCTGTGTGTAGTTGTATAAAACTAGCTTATTTAATGATTGGCGTACTACTATCAGTATGGCCAATAAATATTTCGTCACAGGGAATACTAGAAGTTTCACGAAAACGATACGTCCTCGTAAGATGGTCCATATGCATGAAACGGTTGAAGTTTTCGTGAATGAACGAATAAGCTATATGGATAACGTATCGGTTAGTTAACAAATTCGTGTGGAAACAATGTGAAGCGGAGGAAAAATAACTAATTTTCCTCCGCTCACTCCACTAGATACACTGGCGGAAAACAAGACAATAGAGCTTCAACAGTATTTACAAAATAGGTCACAATTGATCCAAAAACATTGTATGAGTATTTGTACAAATAAATCGAAAGACGAATGAAAGCTATCCGAGCTTGTTTGCCGGTATCTGTATACCAGGTGTCGAGCGTGGCGCAGGTTGGATTGCTAATGTGGTGCCGAAAGCCAAGGCCAATTAGCCATACATTAACACGATCTGCTTGAGATACCGTTGCAAAACAGTGACTATGGCCATGTCTTCATGATTACTTATCAAACTATTGATTGCGAAACAATTTGCTGGTGACGACCTCGTCGTACGTTGATGTACCGAATAGGATCTCATCACGTTTAGCAGTCAGACAAGGAACACGCTAGAAGTGAATGACAAACGCTAAGACGCTTTTTAGTGTTTTGCTGCTCGAAACTATCGCGCAGTATCCGTTTCAATTCGTGAAAATAACGTATGCCCCCTCTCGGCAAGGAGCTGGCGCAGCTCCCTACGGTCTCCGTTGTTAAGGACTCGACAGGGAAATGCTTCCAGGACCAATGCAAGCTGTCCATTTGCGCATGAATAGAATACGTAGCCGCAACAGAGATAAGGTCAATCTTTATCATTATGCAAAAAAACAAAACAATAAAGGCATACTTATCACAGTAAGAAAGCGAGCAAGGCGCTACAGGATGGCTTTCCTATTGGTCAAAACAAACACGAACCATGGTGTGTTGGTTACATTAATTGAACTGATGTACGATACTTCTCCAATGACCCATATGTCTTAGCTTCGATAACATGTATTCAAACGTCGTAAGAAATAAACCAAATCAACGGCGGAGAGGTTCAGCAATAAGCAGCAATGTCCCGTAATATATATATATATATATAATATATATCTATCATAATTGGTGTTGAAACAAATACGATCGCTATATTCGTGGGCTACACGTGAACCATCTATCTCGTACGACTCAACTATCCAGACAAGTAGAATATCTATAGCAAGTTGATAAAATAATTTTTTCATCCATTGTGACTTGCTCTACCGTCCACCTCTACCGGTCTAATAGCCGTCCGTCAAATAGCAAGCTTGATGAACTGCAAGCGAAAAAGAGAAGTATGTTTGAGGTTGCGCGTCTTTTTATTGCCGCTTAAGCCATTTGCCCTCAGGGGCCTAAAATGTGCGATTTCCACAGGCATTTGCTTCCACTTCAGTTGATATTCGCGTAGCTTTCTGCACCGTTTATTTTTTGCCCTAGATGTTGTCTTGTGTTGATTTCTCGTGAAATAGCGAACGGTCGTTTTCATTGCGAGAAAATTCGCTCGAGACATACGCTACCACCACATCACTGCTATAAGTCAAAAGTCCTAACACTTCTTCCCACATAAATATTATGGCGGATGATAGCGCCAATAGACACAAGCAGTCATAGGGAAGAATCATAAACTACCCTAATTGAGATTACTGTATTGCCACTGTTGTTATTATTATTATTACGTTTATTATAGGATTATGGGAGTCTACTTGCACGGCGTATCCCGAAAAAGACATATGCTATAATAACGAACCCAACCTAGAATAATAGTAACAATAACAAGGCAGATGATAACATTGTGTTGGTCCATGATGTACTCTACTGACGATAATTATAACGATGATCCAGGTTATATAGAAACGAACGAGTGCGGAAAATATGGATCTGACGAAGGGCTGAGAGATTAGGATACGGTTGGATTAGTCAGCGAAGTAAACTAAAAACTATGTCAGAATTACGAGAATTGGTAGGTGAGGTGATTAGCAAGAGACAACACGGCATTACGTTGACTTTACGAAGTGGCCAACCTATAATAGAATTAGCATTATAATAATAATAATAATAATAATAATAACAACAACGGGGCAGAAGAAAAAAGCGGAAATCGTAATAAAATAGAATAATTTTCAAACAGACTAAATCTAGAAAGTTGTGCCGAGAGGGCTCCATGTAATAGTCATCAGACATCATCTGATCAAAGGACAAAGTCCATCTCATGATAATGAGCGTTTTACACAGGCATAACCGATATATCAATCAGTGGCCATTTTGACGACGCGGTCCAATTCTAAATCAGAACATAGTAATACAATAAATCATAATACAAGAAAGATTATTATAAATAAAACAACAATTTCACGTCGTCGGTAGTAGAGGACCGTACACGGCCGGACAGAATGTGCGGTAATTTGATGGAATATAGCCACGCCACTGTATCAATCATTTTAGCAATCGAGCGCACACATCAAAAGGCGACGCTGATAAAATGATCGAAAAATATCGACTAATAATAGCTAGATTATCTAATATTTATCATAATTGCAACTGTCTGATTAAGAATTGGTCGCAGTTCAGCCAGCTGATTGATTGTTTGGTAAAGGTTTCAGGTTGACCTCGGCATTCTAAACGAGGTCACTTAAAACCCCGTTCATGTCCATTAAACAGCCTAGCTTGATGTACATATTCAATAAGCAACAGCAACAGATTAAATATATAATAATCAGTATCAATCTAGTATTGAACAAGGGATACTTGCTTTAACGACTGCTCTTTCGAAATACTTCTGTGTTTCACTCTCAATGAAAGTTCACCGCAGAGAACCACAACCAAGGAATAATAAAGCTAACACCCATTTGAAAATCATTTCATTGACTCCGCATAATACAATGGGTACAGATTGTGGTTACGTAATGCTACAGTATTTTATGGGTAGGAACAACCTGTCTAGGGAAACATAATATAGCGAGCTTGCGTCAAGGAACATCTCCATGTATGTATGGAATATAGGTACGTGATGCAGTCATAGGGATGCATACAGTTCGTGTAGAACGTGGTAGAATACTCAATAGAAAATCTTATACTTTCTATTTCTCCGGTTCGAAATTGTTCAAGAGCACTGCCGTTCAACAGTAAACATTTGAATAAATTCACAAAAAAAAACACTACTAATTGTCATTTTAATTCGACCGCCTGCGTACTCGATAAGCAACATGAACAACAAAACTGGAACTCAGAACTTAGACTATATTGGTAATAAACAAGTCTTACGTATAGCTGTTGTGCTTTGCCGACGGATATCGTCCATGTTTACTCGTTGCATAGAAATAAAAGGCCCTCACCCGTAGTAAAAAGCACAGCTTCGGCAAATATTCACCCTGCTAAATCGAATTCTGCAGGGCGTTTTTGGCTTCGTGGGTAGCAAAAAGGCAGCGAAGTCCAAAAACGTTACAAATTCACTATCAGCAGAGCCAATTCGACAGTGGGAACGTCCTGCCCGCTTTGAGGCCCAAGGGGCAATCGTGGCTTTGAAGCAGCCGGTGACATTCTGTATGAATGAATTTCGTAGCTTTGCGTGTACCTTTTTTCTTTTTATAAGATCGCCTCCGCTCATCCTCATAAATCCTCCATCGGCAGAGTACTCTTACCAATTTGGACGCTTTCGATGTGTCATTGAAAAGACGTAATCGGCAAGACTCAAACATTTTCCTCAAGAACACCAAACGCTGATAACATGTGTGACATATAGTAGTACTATTATAATAAGCGAACAGCGGAACGGAGACGCTATTGGTATTATGATATTTATAGTAGATGTACTCGTAGTAATAGAAAGTGCTTTGAATTCGGAACGTATAAACCAAATTGTGCAGTTTTGTGGCGGTAGTGATGAATCTGATAATGATGGTGACAGTACGTTGTCAATATAATAACATATACAGCTGTCAAGATATAAACAGAGAAGTATATATATATATATTGCGTACCTAATGTTGTCAATTATTACTACTAGTACATACATAATAATAGAGAGATCATAATATATATATATATATATATATATATATACATATATATATATATAATATGTCTGAATATAATTATAATGTGGATATGATATAGTGAAGAATGATTAATGTTTAACAAGACAAACAACAACAACAACAACAACAACAACAACAACAAACAGAGCCGTCGTCTGTACAATGATCTCAATGAAATACCCGTAAAGGATGATGACATTATTGCCCTAATAGTAATTAGATAGTATGATGATAATAATACTATGACGAAAAGAAGACTAATTGATGTAATGATGATAAAATAATAAGTATGATTAACAAATCTAAGAATGATAACGCTGATGGTCATTATTATTGCTATTACAATGATACTGTGAAGATAATGGTAACCCTAACCCTCTAACCTGAAACAAAAATCCATCTTTATATATATGAAGATATGATGCCATAAATATATGCAATACACACACGATGTCGTACAGAGACACTTTTTTAATATAAGAAGCAAAACTGTGGCCTGATCTAAGTAAGAAATTTTCGCAGTTAAATATAACAGTGATTGTATTCAGGGTAACTGATGGGTAGCTATAACAGGGCGAATCGGCATTAACTCAAAATAAAATGGTGAAGAACGGTTTATTCATTCTAAGGGTAAAAATAATCCTTCCGTTGCGATAAAATACGAAACGAGAGGATTCTGGAGGCCTATGCGTTAGAGCAAAAGCTGATTTATGAGTTTCAGGAATATCTTAATAGCGAACACTTTGGTAAGTTCTACTGAATCGGCAGTGGCAAAAACTTTCGATTGTACGCTATAAGCCTCTGTCATCAAATGATTGTCTCTCGTTAACGATGAAGCCAGATTTTTTGTCAGTCCTCTATAGGCGATTACCGACAATTCGTGTGTGGCGCATGAACGACTATTTACAGATGCTACTATAACTAGAGTTGTCACCACGTGGGTGTGTTTATCCTTGTCCGTAATCCTTACTTGATTTATAATATAACAGCAGTGTTACTTCGATGTGTCAGACTAACTGTCGCCGTTTAAAAAAGTAGGAAACGAATAGAGAAGATGGTGAAGAAAAAAGAGTGTCAAGTTATGAAATGCATTTGCTGCCATTTCATAGGAATGTGAGTAGCAGGCGGTGCTTTTGAAGATCGTTTATTCCCTTAGTTTTCATTGTCCTGAGTCCTTTCACTCTTTAACCACAGTACCTGAACACTATAACAACGTACTAATGATAAGCTCAATTGACCTAACAAGTATAATAATAATAATAATAATAATAATGGTCATAATGACGTGATCTCCACGTTCGGTATTGTCTGTATGCATCCGCTTATATATATATATATATATATATATATATATATATATATATATATATGTATCGTCTGTCAAACACACATAGAAACGCACACTCCATGAAGTTCAGAAATAAGTATCTGGTGGAACGAACAAGCTACAAGGTTGAAAGTTGACTTGGTCGTTCAAAAAGTGCCAGGCCGTTAGAAATTTTTTTTGCTGAGGAAACGTCTCCACGACTGTACTTAACGAAAACACCTATGGATAAAAATGTTTTCGGTCAATTTCAGCACGCACTTTATCGATGGCACCCAGTTGTTGATCCACGAAATCGAAATACCGGCTCTCTGCGGTGATAAAACCCAAGAAAAGTCAAGCCAGATCCCTATTGCGTACAATTATTATTATTATTACTTTAATCATACCGTCAATACAAACTGTGAGTTCTAACGAAAACAAAAATTGACAAAGAAAGAGCGAGGGTTACAGGTACAGTAAGATCACTAATGACTAAGATTAGGTTTACTTTACTAGCATGAACTCGCTGTGAATAACCTAAATATAATAATAATAATGGTAATTATTATTATTATTATTATGAAGATGGTGAGAAGAAAAGGCATCGAAGAAGTCAAAAAAAAGATAAAGATTATTTAATGATGATGACCAACAACGCCCATGATGATGCGATCATAATAACTACTGAACAATAAAAAGGAGGCTGTAAGTACCATCTGTTAAGACCAAAAAAGTTGAACCTCTTTATTTAAAAACAGAGCATAGTTAGAAGGAAAAATCATCTACGAGGTACGTCTTAAGCATGCACCTTACCGTTTGGCGTCCTTTACAGCTTTATCATCGCTAACGTAGACAATTAGTTGCCGGAGCGTTTTTTGCTAATTAAGTTAATGCTATTCGCGCGGATGAAGAACCAAACGGATGTTGTTTTGAAAACAACGATACTCTGGTGATAATCGCTGAAAGGTAATTTGCTTGCCTAGAAAAACTTCCAGCGGGCGCCCTGTGTTGAGCGGTTGTGCCAAAATTACTTTTATAGTCGCCTACGCACATAAGTAAATTCAGGTCTTCTATAGAATAAGGAAATACTCAAGGAACGACAATCGCCTTATTAATTAAAGACACGTAATTGTCTATCGAAATATTTTCGTGATACTCTTATTCGTGCCGTAACGATAGTCATTTTGATGACTATCTCGTCGCTTGGATGGCCTACTTCGGTATTTACTATCTACAAGGATCGTAAACCGAGCCAAAACCTGGCAAGCATGATTTGTCTTCTTAGTATCCTTTATGTCAACATTGGGAAAAAGCATTGTTTATAAGTCATCTTGTAACATAAAGAATTTAACCTCCCGCTGAAAATACATATATGTCTTTGCTGTCATTGTTTATGGCTCACGATTACGATGCATAGGAAAAAGATTGGAGCACCAACATAAGCACTCATATCGACCTATGCTATAAATATATCTCCATTTAAATGAGTCCGTAAAACCTTACCTGCGTGCAGCTAAAATCAAATATATGGGAAACGGTACGTTTGACAACTTCCTGCAGCGATGCGCTTAGCGCTTCCGCCGAAACAGCCCCGAAATGCTGCCCCGCTTCTATGTGTCTGGGCTCATTGGCCGAACAGTTGTAAGTACAACTCCGAGTGACATACGCGTCATATTTGTTATTAAGTATATAGATTAATCGGTTGAAAATCAATTTCAGGTGTTGTTTATTAGACAGAAAATCAAGGGTCCTACTTCATCTAACGATATAGGTTTCACTTGATCAACCCTACAGGCCTATTGTGGAATAAGGAGGCTCGACAACTTGACTTGGGTTGATTTCTCGTGTGTGCGTGTTTGCGTTTATATCTCCAAAAAAAAATACCACAGCAGCTGTTTGATTCTGGATCAGATACAAATGATCGGTATCTATTACCTTTCATATACAACGTTCATCTACAAGTGACAATATAGATTACACAAAAAGAACAAAAGTCATTGAAGTTACCAAGTAGATTAGGTTATGAAAGATCCTGCAATCGAAGTCAAAAATTTTGTTTAATTTTACCTGCAATTTTACTTCTTCAAAATAATTAGTGACTTCAAATGACTAATCAGCTTATAACATAGCTAGATTTTTCATGGTAAATGCTTCGAAGTATAACCCAAAATACTTTGTTTCACCGTTGCAAAGCATCTCAATCAGCAAAACGCAGACGCCTTGAATAACTTCTTTTGTTTTGAAGCGGCAAGAACAGCAACTTTAGCGTCACGATGAGTAGCTAACTATGTATGACTGCTCATAAATTTAACTAGTTTAGTTTATAAACGTAATTCTGTTATTAATAAAATTATAGTTAGTCATTTCTCATTATGCTGACTAGTTACTGGTACGTTTCAACTGGTCAATAGCCAGCAACGTCGGGGAAAATTCGAACAAGATGCCTCTATCAACGATGAATGAATGAAGCTCTAGCTCGAAATTTAGCGCACTCACGTTAATGCATAAAATAGATAGGACGCGCTTAGGTTTTAAGGTCACAGATGAATCTACTAATGAATGAGCATTAATTCTTCAACCAAGTTCCCTAATCGCCTTAGCTAGTTATTCCTCAAAACGATCCATTTCAAATAAAAGGGCAACCGTAAACGATCGTAAAGGGTGCATTAACTATGTCTGCGTACCATTTTTGGGTTAGTTTAAGTACCGTCAGCAGCATTACCTTTATTCGCAATTGGACACTGTTGAGCAGGAGCATGTGCTATCATTTTCTCTGGCTTTGATCACTAAAAATAAAGCGTTACACAACTCAGGGTGTTCAACCCGTAAGCCTGCCTTTGTAAAACGTTCGTTTAGAGATCGCGCTATATAAAACCGCTCAGTATCGTGCACGTCTAAATCCCTAACGAAAGATACGTGCCAGGCGCCGCTGTGAATAGTTCTTGTTCGAGAAGCCAGAAATACGTAGTTTTCAAATATATGCAAAATATTCATCTGCTTACCGAAGGTTGCAGTGGCTCCTTCAGGTCCCTATTGGAACCCTAATTTTATATTAGTATATCTCTCGACTTCTAAAATGATTCACTTAATTGTCTGTTAGCCTGTAAAAGGTCGCCATAATTTGATTCAGCCAGCTCGATTGACTAAGTGCTGACATCGTCGAAGTTCAGGCCTTCCGTCGTACGTTTTCCCCTACGCAGGTGCTTTTGCTAGCGTTGCCGAGGCGATTGTACACGCTATGCTTCATCGTGAAAAACAGGAAGATCGGTTATGATTAGTACAATTGCCTTTGAGAAAATAGGAGTGCACTAAGAAACGCAATCGGTAGAAGAGCGGATGACTCTTTAATGCTTCTTCTTAATCTCATCTTCGCTCGAAAACCGTGCTTTGTAGCACTGTGAGTTTTACGCTTTTACAGTTAGCCGCTACAACAACGAGGCACCTACTCTCGAGCACATGATATATGTATAATGATATTTTTGGTTATTTGCGGTCAATCTAATCTGGTGGGGCAATCTCTTATCCATTTCGAAGATATGATAATAATAATACGAGTAGTGAGAAAGGATCAACGAAACAAGGTTTCTGGATGTGAAATACATAAGCGTATAATTGATTTCGCTTATTT